TTCAAATACACACATACATAAACACTTACATACATACCTACATCAAATTACAGTTAGCGTAAATCAACCGAAAACAAATTGAATATACGTGTATTAAATCAAATATATCCCATATACATACATACATATATTGTTAATATATTATGCATGGGCTTAGCCAGGTATGGGCAGGGGTGCAGCTGACCCCCCACCCCCCATACAACAGTTATTTGTTTAGATTAAACGTGGCTTAGATTAAAATTTATGAAAAATTATAAATTGACCCCTGGCTGGCTACGCCCCTGATATTATAAATGTATAATATACACATTCTATATATATACATTATTACATAGTTATATACGAGCATATATACAGACATATATATATATATACACATATATATATATATATATATATATATATATATATATAATAACAATAATACAAAAACAAGGAAAACAAAAATTAATATGACAGAAAGTGCATAAGAAATTCTACAAATAAAGGACAAATATATTTACTACAATTATGTATTTATTTGAATATTTAATGAGTGCAAGAGCAGCGGGCAGGCGTGGTGAATATTTAAATATTCATAAATCAAATCGAATCAAATGTTTTGCGAGAGTGGCTCACAACAATTTCTGGCGATCAATACGTAGCTCCAACTTTAAGAGTAACTTTTTGTTACAATTATGGAGCTCCATCCAGTGCTCTATCTGTAGTTAGGTCCACTGAGCCCATAACTCCTTCATTAGCCCGGATTCTCGCACGTATTCAAGTATTTTTGTCGGGTTGAAAGTTTCGATGTCCTTCGAGCTTAAGATGTGTTTCCCTTCGATATTGCATCTTCGTCTGGGCCAGGTTTTGAAGATACCTCCGCGTTGTAACAATATTAACAGATTCCTAGTCTACAGTTCTGTTCTGTTGTCTTCTTCCTCATTCTTCATGGATATTACAGGCCTTAAATGTTTCTGATTATAGCTGCCTAAAAGACATTTCGCCTGTCCTAGAGCTGGTGAGACCAGAGCTAATCTATGGATGAGTTTTATTAATTACAGATAATTATACATAGACAGGTACGTATATAGAGAAAGATATGCAAATAAATTGATAGAAAGATATTGTAGCCTTGTAGTTGGTATATAATATAACTGATCTATTCTTAATCAAGTTGATTCATTTCGTTGAGATCGATTAGGAAACTTCAGATTTACAGATTTTTTAAACTTACTTAAACTTTTAAACTTATTTTCATATGGAATAGACTATTATCAGTAATTCAAGGGAAAATATCAGTAAAAAAAGAAATAATAGAAACTGTAATATATAATATGTTTCAGGCTATCTACTAGTTGAGCTCTCTTCTTTTTCAAAGGCGCTGTGTGACTTCAAAATTGCAACTGTATTCCAGAACGGAATGCAACTACATTAAACTAATTTTTGTTTGTTTACCTAAAGTATATAGAATACGTATCAATGTGTTTCATTTCAGATTTCAGGTAAGTTTGAAAGCAAGCGTTCCAAACACTATGAAATATAAAGAAAATTAGTCAAATGTTAAAAGGAAGACAACAAGAAAACACTTACCCAAACGATATGTAAAGGGTACAATTTTGTTTAGTTAGTAAATATGCTGGCTGGTAAATAAGTAAAGTCAAACTTTGAATTAAGTGAGGAAAATAAAAGAGTAAAACAAAAACAAAATCGCTGCACAAACTGTCATCGAGGGAATCTCTATACAACTTTGGGTGCCATGTGGATGGTGGTGTGTGGTGGTGTGTGGCAGTGTGTGGTGGAGTGCGGTGGGCGGGTGTTGCATGCTTAGATAGAAGAGCCGTTAGTCCATTGGTCCAAGCAGCTGCGCAAATTTAACTCTCAAACACAACAGGATGTCCGTTCTTGAGCAAGGCGGAAGCTGTTCTGAAAATAACACAGCAAATAACTTCTGCAACCGCATTCAGCACGCTTCTCTGCTTCCACACACACATACACACACAGACACACACACACAGACACACACACTTCAGCATACTCCACACCAAAATGAGATCAAACTTATCCTTAGCTAAAGTTCTCCTCCAGCACTGCACACACTTTAATACACATATTTGAATTAACTACTTGTTAGCCACTGCTTTAGCACATTTCTCAAGTTGCACTCTGGACTTAATATACTCCTTTGTAGTCTGCATCTTTGTGTTTGAGTGTTTGACATTTTTTAGGAATACAAAATATATCACACAAATTCCTCAAATGACAAGCATAGAACATGTAACTGGAATTTGTGCAATAAGGTATCAGGAGAAGTCAATCGTAATTGTATGAGCAGCACGTAATAATTATGCGAAGTAAATAATATTATTATGACGACAGTGCTAAACTTGACAAACAGAGATAATTTCTGATTAACTTGGCTTGTCTTTTATAAGCTCAGAATAATAAATGATCCTGAATTTATGAAAGTCGACCTGAAAACAAGAACCATTTTTTTGTTTTTGAAATCATTTCTTAATATAACAAAAAAAATATTTAAATATAAATAAGCATTTTTTTAGAAATATATTTCTTAACAATAGAAAAAAGAAAATATGTAAAAAAAAGAAGAAAAAAATAGAAAAAAAGAGTCAACTCACAAACGAAGGTTCCAAATCGCTGAAAAATCGTAAGTTTTTTCAAATTAAACTACATGAATTTATTTATAAACTATCTGAAATGTGTGTATATGTGATATCTGAAAATATTAATTATTAATAATTATTAATATAGTTTAAAAAAAAACACCCTGGAAATTAGACATTCTTTTTTTAATCTTATAAAAATGTAGTTTGGATTTAATAAAAGAAATCTCTTTTTTTTAAAGACGCAATCTTCCGTCAAAGAAATACGCTTTGTGAGTTAGCCTTTTTCGGCGTTGAATTATGTGTATACTTTTGAGCAAAACCAAAAAAAGGAATGCATGTAATGGTTTTCCACAATTTTCCGAGCTTGGCGATCGGCATACTCATAATGCAGTCTAAGTATACAAATGTCAGCTTTTTCAGTTCTCTTTCAAGAGCCAAAAATACGAATGGGAGTTAAGAAAGATATTGGAAATGTGTGTAAATAAATAAATATTGAATATTATTAGAAACCATTGAACAACATTGTTGAGACAAAAGACAAAAACTGAGCAAATTTAATAATCACATTGGAAACATGTCTTTGTGCGAGTATCGCACTTTCACTTTCACTTTTACTTTCACTTTCAATCAGTGGCAGGAAAGCGCGTGACCCTTTGCAGCCGTTACCGTTAACCGTGCAATGGCCCATGGCCAGGAGATGAGGTTCAAGGGACGAGGGGCAAGATAGAGTGTAGACAGGGGAGCACATCTGCCAATACAAAATTATGCGGCCTCGTCATTGCTGTTGCGTTGCGCCCCCTTCCTTGAGACGGCCGTGAGGCCATACACTCAGAAAAAAATCTACTTAATTTTAGTAAATCGCCCTAAAGTAAAACGTTTAATAGTTTCTAAATATTAGAAATGCAAACTTTAACTTTTTCACTCAACTCAAATCGTTGTTTAAAGTTAAATAAAAGAATTTTATATATATTTGATACATTTTAGAGATTTACTTTCTAAATAATAGGGTAACTAAACATGGGGCGCGAAGAGTATGGTGATTTACTAAAAGTAGTGGGATTTTTTTATGAGTGTAGGCTGTAAGGGTTGAATTTGCGTTCGCCTTCGAAAATTGACTTTTAATGAAAACAATTGAAAATTGTGGGGCAGCCTGGCAGGCAAGTTAGCCACCAACTGTTAAACAGTCGCAACAATCCGCCGCTTGACTGCTCGACTGCTCCACTGCTGAGTTACTCAACTGCTGAACTGCTCAACTGCTCAACTGGGTTGCGGTTATTAATTTCAATTAAAGCATTTAACCGGCAAGCCCAAACAGCCAGCAATATCCTTTTTATTTGGGGCTTCTGTTTACACAACCGCCAAGCAAAGCAGCGCATAATTTTCAACAGCAAGCCACCCCCCCTCCCCGTCAACTCCCCTGAGCAACCCTGGAAGACTCCTCCTCCACTTGCCACGCTCAGTTGCTTGGCCCAGTGCCACATGAATTAAGGCGTGAAATATTCGCGCCAAAGTTTCGCTTTCGTGTCTGACTTAAAGTTGGCAGTTGGCCTGAGGACTTTAGAAATTTTGTGGGTAGGTTGAATGCCAACACGTTGCCCCAATTGATCTAATCAAAGTATGTGGCTTAGACCATTTGATTAGCTTCAACTGATCCAATTAATTAAAACAGATTCAGCTTTGGCCTACAGCATTCAAATTAACAAATTAACTCCACAAAAAGAGCAATGCCATTTAAAAGCCCCATCTTCTGACCCCTTGCCATCATATATTTGAGAATCAAAATAACAATGATGACTGCAGCTCGAAACTTGCTCATATGTTTCGGATGTTGTGTTGAATGCATTTCCAATTAGCCGAATTTGCTGCATATTCGAGCCGAATTATTTACCTAACTGGATCATAGGTCAGAGGGAGGGGCCAAAGGGCAGATGCTTTGGATGGTCTGGATGGTCAATGGTCTGGCTCAACTACTCTACCCGATTACTGAGAATTATACTCATGCAACTTTACCCGATTGCTGCTGGTAGCTCTAGCGCAGCAGCGACTTTAGCGGTTAACTTTATCCATTTGTAACGTTTTCTTTCTATTGCCAAGGCAAAAATCGATTTATAGACCAATGAGTGCCTATAACTTGTTCAAAGTCTCTTGTCTAGAATTTATACATATGAAATATTTAGCTTTTATTTCAATAGAATATTTGTTTTATTATTATTTTTTATTTATTTATTTGATGCAATACGTTTGTTAATTATAAAGTGTACCCATTTGGTAGACTTAATTGATCAGAGGCCCGAGCTCAGAGCCCCATGCAAAACTATTCATTCAAAGTGGAGTAGCTCAGATTGGAAGCATTCGCTCACAAAATTAACAAATTCCCAAATTCACATATATACATCGGTTGAAAATATAAATAGTGTGAATTCCATATTTGGTTGCCAGGCATTTGTTTTACAGCCGGCAAACATTGGTGGCTACTGGCAACCAGAACGCGTTGCCGGTGGCACTATCCATCAATAAGGGTTCACAATAAACAACAACAACACCAGAGACTGCTGGACTGCTAAAATATATTTTATCAAAATTCAAAGAGGTTGCCAGCGTCCGCTCGTGAAATCACTAAGAATTCTACAAAATGGTAAGTTTGCAAAGCGATTCTCTATGTAATCATCGAATGCCACAATTCAAGTGGCTCTCTGGAGCAGCACCAGCAGCACCAGCAGCAGCGGCAGCAGCGGCAGCTGTGGAAGTACTTACTGCCACATTGGCGTGTTGTCGCTTTGACGCAATTCTGATAAGGGCATCGAGCACCAGTTAACTGCCCTGTGCCACTTGCCCTTTGCCACTTGCCCTTTGCCAGTGCGCTCCAGCTGCATGGGCGCATTCAATTTTTCATGCCACGCCAGGCTGTTGTGCTGCAACAATATGCTGTATATAAAAATATGTATGCATGTGTACATATGTATACACATTTATATGCATATACTTATGCACATAATATGCACAGTCTCAGTTGCAGTTAACTCTGCCTCGTGCCTACTGTTGTAAAATTGCACAAGAAGTGTGCAGCGAGTTAAATCTCAGCAACAGCAACAGCAGCAGCAGCAACAGCAGCAACAGCAGCAGCAACCCCGCTGCTGCGCTGCTGTTGTCGTTGTCCGTTCTCGACAATTTGTGTTTTCAGGCAAATATATATACATATAGAAATATATATACATATATACACGTAGATATACCTCCATTTATATGTATACTATTATTATTTATGAAAATTTTACGCCTTTTGCCAACACATTGGGCGGATGCGAGGCGCGGTCGCGATGCGAGCGGCTTCGAAAATTTTTGAATAATTTGCAGTCATAAAATATGCAATAAGCCAACAGCTGTTGTGAAATTGTTTTGAAAGCCGCGCCATCACATTATTTAAAACGGCGACGTCGTTGCCGCCACCCGTCACCCGCCTCCCCGCCACCAACAGAGTCACCAACGCCGCCTCAGACTCACTCGTTGACTCTGCTGCTGGTCCATGCAACATCCGATGCTGCTGTTGCCGCTGTTGCTGCTGTTTGTCCTGTCCTGTGGCTGGTTGGCGCCCTTTCGAGACTGCGTTGCGTCGTGTTGTGAAAAACTGCTTTGGGTTGATGCTCCTTTTCCCAAACAAAAAAAAATATATAAATGTCGTGAGAACTCGAAATCAAATTAAACATTAAGCAGTCAAGGATATTTCAACTGCATTCAAGCTCCAGCTCTCAATACTATCCTCATTATTCAACATCTGCGTTAAGATCCACAAATCAAATTAATTACTTGCGTCTGCAAAAAAAAAAAAAAATGGAAAAAATAAAATCGCAAATAGGTTTTGCATGCCGAATTTAAATTCATTTTTATTTGCATATTAACTAAAATCAGAAACTAAATATAGAAATAGATATACAGGTATCTCTATAATCTGTGCTAAAATCGAATATGTTTTTGTTATTAAAGCCAAATACTTGAATTTTTTTTTAAATAATTTTCTTATATTTTTACAGCCGCCTAAGGGTAAAAAGGGCAAAAAGGGCAAAAAGTTGCCAGGTGAGTACATTTTTCATATTAATAATAATAAGGTTTTACTAAATTTAACCAAAATAGCACAGACGAGTGCTTTTATTCCTCTTAGCTTTTATTTATATATTTATTTATCAATTGCATAGTATTTTGAAGTTAATAACGAAATTTATATAGTGGCTGGTGTTAGGAATATAGGTTAGGAATATGTGATCGATTTGGAGGCCGCGTCCTATCCGTGGTAGGTTCAGCTAGGGCTTTGTCAACCAAGCCGCATCATCATCCGCTGTTGAAGGTCATCTGTTTCTCAACGATTGTCAGGCGGATCTCGCATTTGTAGTCGATTCAACGAATACGATTGGTCCTAAAATCGTCGCAAATCCTGAACATTTGACCAAGTCGAAGCTGTGATTTCAAGATCAACTTGATCAACTTAGGCTTAAGGTCGAGAATGTTAAAATTTGTTGCCCTTTGATGTTCCAAGTGAGCGTGAGAGAGATCCCATTGGAAGCAATGGGTTTCGATGTGGCATATTCGAGTGGTTGGGTAGCAAAACAATTTATCAAAAATGATAATCTGAGAGGCTTGGTCAGCAGGAAAACAAAGTGTGACAAGTTGCGACCATGTTGGCCGTTTGCTCAATACAATTAAATTGTACGCAAGCACCAGCCGAGATGCACAGTCACCAGTCGCAGTCGCAGTCGCAGACGCAGGCCCAGCCTCAGCTGCTGCTTCTGCTTCTGCTCCGGCCACATCCATATGCTCCACGGTGCTCCACTGCTGTGTGGACAATCCATTCGAGCGTGGAAAAAAAATAGTGCGCACTTAATTTCCAGCTCGCAGCTCGGCCTCTAACGCACATAATTGTTTCTATGGACGGAGAATGTACGTAGGATGCCCTGGTTAAGGTTTTGGTTGCAGCGTGGACAGAGGCAGGGGTGTGGGGGGGAGACAAGGGGGTGCAGGGGCAACTGGAGGCAAGGCACGGCACCAGCCGGGCAACGATGCCAATTACACAAACCAATTACAGCAGGGGCTGTACACATGCGGGCACAAGTGCAGTCCTAAATACACACGCACACACGCACACACACACACACACTCGGACAGATAAATGGGCATAAAGACATTGGCGACTCACACTCTCATTAAACGTTTCATAATTGTGCTGCAAAAAATTAAAGGCAACCAACGAACTGACCAACTGTGTCCTCTGCCGTTTTTTTCTTCTTTTTTTTTGTAGTACTCATCGATGGCGTGGACACCTCATCGATGACCCGTGATCAGCTGGAGGCGTTCGCACTGCGCCTCAAGGCGGAAATGGATCGGGAGCGCGAGGAGCGTAACTATTTCCAGTTGGAGCGCGATAAGATACGCACTTTCTGGGAAATAACACGCCAGCAACTGGGTAAGTCACAAGTCAAACCATAATGAAATATCCAAAAGAAATGCCTACATCCTTCGAATGGTGGCTGCAGAGGAGTCCAAATATGAACTGCAGCAGAAGGATAAGGATATTGAGGCCACACAGGATCTGGCTGACATCGATACGAAGCACATTATGCAGCAGATGAAGCATCTGCAGTTCGAGAATCACAGCAAGCTGGGCGAGGTGCGAGCCGAGGCAATGACCCAGTTGAAGGTGGCGCAGGAGCATCATATGCTGCAGGAACTGGAACTCCAAAGCGATAAGCGCCAGCTGCGTCGCATGGTCCGTGAACGAATTGAGATGAGCGACATGCAGCATCGCCAACTGGAGGCGCACTTCAATCAGCAACTTCTGTAAGTATCAACAACTTAAATCTACCAACTTTGTAGAAAATCGCACTCGACTCGACTTATTTTTCAGAATTCTCAATAAGAATGTTTCCTCAAATATTAAAATTCATAAATATATAGCTAAATGGCACAAAACAACAGTAAAACAATATATATATTTGAGTAACTGATTGCAGATGTGATTTAACCATCTTGTGAGGATGGGGATGGACTTATGGCGACAATGGTTAATCATTAATGTGCATTTTAAATCTGGTGACTGTAGCTCTAAAATTCCAGTAGGCATTCTTGTGGGCGTGGTCTAGAAATTGATAGGAACATCAGTTTTAGAAGACAGTTCCTAGTAATATACCCTCCAAGTTTGGTAACTTTAGCTCAAAAATTGCCAGATATAGGGATTTAAAATTTTTGGGGATGAATGGGGATTACCTTTTAAATTTGTTGACCTAAGTCGTAGGAAATATATGGTTTTATCGATTTTTATCGATACGTTTTGGGAGCGGAAGTGTCGTATCGTTCTTTAAAGTGCAAAATTTGCTGACTAGCTGAAAATCTGTGGAAGCTGCAGGCATTTTAAGCAGAAACCTTTTCTAGAAAACAAAGAAAACTTTCACGTTGCAATAATAATATTCATTTCAATTTTACAGCGAACAACGTCTTTTGTTCGAGAACGAGAGCAACGATATGAATCGGCTGCACGAGGAGAAGATGAAGGAGCAGCGTATGAAACTGGAGCTGTTCTTTAACTCGCAGATGTTTGAGGTGGAGGAGCGCAAGAATCAGCAGATCAAAGACCTGCAGGATCACCACGATCTGGCCTTCAACGACATGAAGAACTATTACAATGACATCACATTAAACAATTTGGCCCTAATTGGCAGCATGAAGGAACAAATTGAGCAGCTGCGTCGTCAATCGGATCGCAGCGATCGTCTCGCTGCCGAGGCGACGGCAGAGACGCGTCGTCTAAAGGAGCCGCTGGAGCAGGCCAAGACGCAACTGAAGGAGCTGCAGCGCAAACTGGAGTTCTACGATCGCGACAAGTTGCAATTGAGTCGCCTGAAGAAGAGCAACACCTCGCTCGAGAAGAAGGTGAAGAGTCTGATGTGGGAATCGGAGACACTGCTATTACGCAACGATGCCCTCGTTGGCGAGCGTGCCACACTCAAGACACGCTTCAACGAGGTCATCGTTGAATTGCAACAAAAGACGGGACTCAAGAATGTGCTGCTCGAGCGCAAGATTGCGGCACTGATCCGTGAGGATGAGAAGCGCAGCATCATATTGCGCAACACAATGGCCACCTGTGCACCCGAATTGGCCAGCAAACTGGAGAATGTGGAGAAGAGCGTCAGCGATGCCGTCGACACAAAGAACCAGGCCATCATCGACCTACGCTACGAGCTGGCCAAGGCGTGGAAGGCACATGACGATCTCCTCGAGACATACGAGTGCAAGCTCAAACAGTACGGCATACCCACAGATGAGCTCGGCTTCCAGCCATTCCGCGAGCGCACCCAACAGCAGCTCTTCATCTGCGGCCCCGCCGGCATTGTTACCGAAAACAAATAAAAAAAAAACCAGAAAATCGGCACTTCATGTTCAAATGTTGCAGTTCAATTGAGTTTATTTAACTTAGATGTGTCGTGTATATAAGTATATATGTATGCGTGTATCTGGCTAGACAGATATGTAAGTATATCAAAATAAAAAGTATACAAAAAGCAACCGAGCAAATTGCTTTTAATACATAACATATTGCTAATGTGTTGTTTTAACAAGTATGATTTCGGTTGAAGATTTGAAGCTATTTGCTTATAAGACACACTTAACTATTTTTAAGGGTATTTGATCTTGTTCGATATTGTTTCAATCAATTTGGCGGTTTTTATTGACATATTCGATCATTAGACATCCTACATTCGTCTTTGCTCGTAATTACTAAAAACAACTTTTTAAAAAGAACTTATTTCAAAAAAAAAAGATACTCATGTTTAGCTCAATCAGATTTAAAAGTGAGATTCATTTTTTGTTTTCGTTTTTTTTTTTTTTGTCTTTTTTCTTGGGGACAATGACTGCAAATTTAAACAATTCAAGTTTCTTCTGTCCTGTTAAATTGGATTTCTTTTTTTTTTTTTGATTTAGTTTAATTTTTAGTTTGCTGTTTCACATATTTTTCAAATAGATATCACATAATGTTTTGCTTCCAGTTATTGCTACTGCGGATTTGTAGGTTTGTATGCAGGTTTTGAGACATTTGATCAATCGATCTGATCTTTCACTTATAGTTATTTCATTCTTTTATGCTGTGACTGTTTCGGTTTTTAATACTGTTTACAAATCAGTTGTGTTTGAATGTGTTTGACATAGTTCCCAACGAATGACATATAATATTTGTAAAACACCACCAACATATTTGCATTATCAAATACGTTATACGGTTAATTAATACTTTAAATGTGTATATGTATATATATTTATATATATATATATGTGTGTGTGTTTGTGTGTATGGGTATATGCTGTGCCAAGGAGTTGTTTTTGAGTTTGTATTCAAATTTAGTTAGTTGCCTTTGAATTTGCAGTCTAGGTACTTTATGGTTACGCTCCTATTTGTTTTGTTTTGTTTATTTTTTGCCGAAATGTTTTGCATTCCAGTCCATAATCAATTAATTAACTTAACTATTTAGTTGCTCCTGATTCGGTTTTCTTTTCAATTTTCATTTCAAATAAAGATTTCAAAGCGATCACAACGGTTTAATTCACAGATGCGTGTGGACACATATCAAAAGTGTCCATAGAAATACAAATTTCCTGTTTTGGTTAGTAAGTTTTAGTCATTTTTCTGTTCTTTTTTTGTGTTGGATTTTTTTTTTTTTGTTATCCAGCTTACAAATTGTGTTCTATTTCAAACTTATATATACATGTATGTGTGCTTAATCCGATTTCACATCGTTGTCGTATATTGCTTCAAGTAATGCTTGCTGATCTTTAGGCGCTTTACAATCTCAAGTCGGATATATGTATGTATGAGTGTGTGTGTGTGTGTGTGTGTGTAATTTATGGCACCTTTGGATTTCATAGCTTTATAAATTTGTGTCTGTCGGCCTTATTGAGTTTTGTTACACATAATTGTTGCGTGCTATGCTTTGCTTATTTTTGATTTTGTTTATCAAAATGTCACAGTTTTTTGGGCAGTTTACTTGAATATGTTTAACATCAAACGTAATTTTTTCTTTAAAGCTTGTTCATGGGTCAAATAATTATTTGCTTGAACTATGGTTGGATTTAGTTTCGTTTCGTTTCGTTTGCATATTTGATGTAAATGCGTTTGTTTTATTTTTAGTTTATTTTATAGTTTTTTTTTTTTTTACGCAGTTCCTTGTATTTAACTAAGTATTTCAAGTTAAAATTAAAGATTGATTAACATTTGGTTTGTAAGGCAATTTGTTTATGTGTTCGCTTTGCTCAGATTCACGTGTTTTATATTTTTGTAATCCAAATTTAATTTAGATTCAGATCACTCGATTGCGTTTTTGAAATTAAAATATCAATTCAGTTCTTTAACTACGACTAATACCAATTGAAATTCAAATATAGTACATATCGTTACAAAATCAACGTTGTGTAAATTCAGACAAATATTCGCATATATGCATGTTGTGAGTCTGTTCGTGTCGCTTTATATATCTAGTTTAGTAGCTATTCGAGTCATGCATATTTTGCAAATCTAAAAACATATAGTATTAATAACGATTTATGATGCTTTCAGGCTGTGTGCAATAGGGCGCACAAGCACCAATGAATGCTACTGTATCTTCCTGTTTGTGTGTGTCTGCATGGGTGTTTTAGAGAGAGATAGATATATATATATATAGAGAAAGACACAGAGAGAGAGCAAATGCACTGTGCCAATGAACGGATCCAGCATGTTTGTGACTGCAACAGATTCCTGGGCTAAGTCTGAATTTGTGACTTATTTTCTTACCGTCGGCTGCCTTCCTCAACTAACCAGATTGCTCAGAAGAAATTGCCGTGTGCAAAGGCGCTTATTACACGCGTCGTCTGCTCGGAAATGCTGCATATCTCCAAAATGTGTTCGTTACGCACCGTCGAGTAGCTCATGGAAGCACGATGCTGCCGCAAGCTCATAATTATGAATCTGCGAAAACACAAAATTGCATAAGAACAAAAAACAATATTGTGAAAATAGTAGTGCTGAATATCAAATATCCTTGCAAACGTATGTATTTTTCGTAGCCCTTTTAGCTGATTGTCTCAATGGCAGCTTACAGTCTAAGGTTGTTAATAATCTTCTATAATAAAATGGTCGTGATCTGGCTGCAAGAAAAATACCAAGTTTTATCAAGATGCATGGCATAGAAACAGACGGACAGATCTCCTTATCAACTCATCGCCCATTGTTCTGATTAGGATAGGTATTTGATGTGTTCAATGATTTCACTTAATGCAAGTGCACATACTCTAACAAAGAATATATAATTGTATAAAATCGAACAGTTCCGAAAAAAAGGTTACCTGGCATTCGTATTGCGCTTTTCACGATACTGGTCAAGACGTTGACAAAGTTGTTCCGAATTGTTTTTGGGATTCCCACGTGTAGCGCAGGGAACCAACACCAAAAAGACATCGTACACCTTCTGTTTATCATCAAGAGCATTGTCGAGCACATCTGTTAGAGTTTGCTTGATTTTGAGCACCTTTTGCTTTTCACAGGTGGCCTTTGCCTCATCCACGGACATTGTGGTTAGCCAAGGCAAGTCGATTAGAGCGCCGCTCTTATCATGCCAAATTCTTACGGTAACATCGTTGTCGCTCATGAAGTAGCCAAATGCGAGCGCGACCACAGCGTCAAGATATTTGATTGAAGTCCAACGTCCTGTGAGTGATTCTTTAATGCAAATTGCATATTACCAACTGTTAAATGATGTGTACAAGTTGTGAGTTTACTCACTGCACATGTAGCTCATCTCTAGATTAATTGTTATATGCAGGCGCAGGCCTAGTCCCTTGTTGAAGCCAAATGAATTTTTGTAAAGGTTCTGAACAAAACTTGGTTGCTGCTTAACTGAAATCTACGCAAAATATATTGATTATAGTACTATGATTATTAGTATATATATTTCATATATATATTTCATATATATATATATATATATATATATATGTATACCTTTTTGTTGTGCATTTGAGGGCGTCTTTCTTGGAGTAATAACCGAAATGGCTCCACATCAGATGCACGCAAATTGAACATCCTAGCAAAGTGCTGAGCATAATTGGAGAGGGCATTGGCCCGGTTGGCATTGTCGAGACGCTGGAATGTTGGCCAATGCTGCAGCAGCTGCTCAAAGCTCATTGTGCCATACAGAAAATTGGCCACATTCACGTCCGTCATGAAGTGAAGTGGCACTTGCTCGTAACTAAGCGACAACTGCCTTATAATGACCAGGGCCAGGGAGGGATCCTGTGCCGCACGCAGCTTTGCAATGCCCAAAATCGTTTCCTTGCATTTGGCAACCGGCTCCAGACAAGCAGGCCACTTAACCAGCTCCTTGACGGGCGACGACAATACATACAGTGCAGCCATTGTCTCTGCATCGAATGGATTATTATTGTTATTGTGGTGACACCGATGCAACAGTTCGCGATGCATTCCCCAGTCGCTCTGACCGTTGACAGACCACATCTGCAGCAGACCGTCCACTGTTTGATGTTTGTACCACTGGAGTACAGCTTTGCGAACGGTGCGATTTAATGTCTTGCGTTTCATTAGCTTCTGCACATGCTTCACCAGCCGGATGAACAGCAGCAGCTGCTTGTCAGTGCGCACCAGCTCCACAAAATGGCCACGCACCACCATCAAATGTCTCTCGTCGCTGCGCATCGATAGGTAAATGGCCAGCACAAGTAACGACTCATCGGGACGCGGCAATCGCTGACCGTTGCTTGGATGGAGCACACTCTTCAGGCAATCGAGCAACTGCTTCTCGCTGACATCGGCGCACAATTTGCGCAGTGCTGTAAATTGGCACTCGACGATAGCGTCAAGTGCCTTTGCCGAATAGACGGGAGCCTCAATTACACCCAAATAACAGAAGCGACGCAATTTATCCGTTGTCGAAATAATCGCTATATGTTGGACAGTAACAAATTTAATTGATTTGTTTGGCGTTGATTATGTGTTTGTGTGTGTACATACAGTGCAATATTTCAGCTGTGCCCGTTGCCAATTTCAAATCCAAATCCATATCCATTTCCTGACTCGCATTTGCATTAGCGAGTCCGTTCGATGTAACTTCTAAACTTGTAAACAAATGCTGCTTCATAGCGCCAGACCCACTGCACTCTGCCCTGGTCAGCAGGTTGCAAGTTGCAGTTGCACTCAATTCAGCAACGACACACTTTGCCATCTAGCTGCATCTACTTGCAAATGCTGAGCAAGCAATCGATGGCTTACTGTAACTATATATCGATTATTATTTTGTTCCTCTCAAACACATTTATCTATCGATTTATTTATCGATGGGCAAATGCTTATCAAACGTTGGCTCATATGGATCAAATTTACGCATTAGAAATATTCAAATGCATATGAAGACATCTGAAATATGGCAAAGATGGTACGAGAAAATCGGCATGATGTTCAAATCAATCCTTTAAGATTTCTACCATTTCAATATTCTGCTGCTATTTATGTATGTATTTATTTATGAATTTTTCAGAAATAACTTTTCCGATCTTTTTGCTGGATATTGTCTTATAAAGAGCATTGTGCGTCAGGATCGCTACCAATCTGCAGCTAAAATATGGGTTTATAAAAAAGTTGCCGAAAGCACAAATGCCTTGAAAATTCATAAACTCTCTAAGCACTTTGGATTTCCTTAGAAGTCACTGATAACTCCAAGAATATTTAATAGATAAACTATTATAATTTGGTGTACATACATATATATAAATATCTATCTATAAATATTAAAGCTGTTGGCAATACTCCTTCGCTAAGCTGGTATTTCAATGAGACAACCACAATAATTTAATAATAAACTAATTGTTTGCATTTAACATTAATAATACGAGCGTTACATTTAAAATCTATGCACAAAACACAACTATGGAATAATTGAAGAATATAATAATAATAATATATCAAAATTACAAATCAGAGATCGACAAGAAATAACTGCCTGTGTGTTGTTTTTATATTTGTAATACCTATTCAAGTGAATGTTTAACTAGTTTCTTGCCCTTGGCTTGTTCTTGTTCTTCTTCGTGTCTTGTTGTGATTGATTCCTGTTTATGTGTGTGACTCTTGAGCCGGAAGATTCACTGATGGGGATAGATGTGGATGAATAGACGGGGCTTGCGACTCAAGCTATGGCGCGTGACCAGGTAGTGCTATTAAATGATGGGCACTATCATCAGTCCAACGTGAGCCCTATATCGAAGAAACAACAATATTATTTCCTTGATATAGATTTCTACTGCAGCACTTACATGCAGATGGGCGCAATGATGCAGGGCATAGTGAAGATCTCGCAGAAGACGGTGGCCTTCGGTGCGTTGGCCGCCGGGGACTCCACAATAGAGATGATGAACCGTGTGCCCCACAAATCGGTTCTGACCAATCAGCTAAACGATAAAGGAAAACAGAGAGATCCTCTTAAAGATTATCGAGAATTACATGATATATATACTTACGTCGAGGAGCTTGAGGGAATAGCTGGATGCATGCAGCATCGAGTAGAGCACAACTGGGATGATCACCAGAAGCGCTGGCCGAATCTTAAAGGATATCAGCGAGTTCATCATATTCATTTATCACTCTCTCAGAACAGATCCACGAATTCGAGATTAAACGTCGACACGGACTGATGGAACCGATGCAACCGACGCAGCCCCAAGATTTTTGCATTCGCCTGTAGCACCTTACGGAAGGCGCTATGCTTTCGGCTATTGGAACAGATAAGGAATTCGGGATTAGAAAAATGATGTGCATGTATTCATATGAAATGTGTATATATAGATATTTATGTATTAAGGAGTTGCTGTAAGGCTCTGTTTGGCAGTTCTTGAAAATATATATTCTAACATATTCGACTTTGTTGCGGATTATAAGCAATATCAGGTACTTTAACAAATGCTCCTTAATGAATTTAACAGAACAGAAATAACCTTGTAAAATAATTTGACAAAGCACTCAACAGCTGATAGTAAGGCCGATAGGCACACACTAATCGCCCATAAAGATCCTAGAGACGAATTGCTATTTAAATATCGATATAGCGACTTGTTGATTGGCCACCACTAATCCCTAATCAGTTTGTGATGCTTTGAGCAAAGCCGGCGATAACATCTCTTCCTAACAACATTTTGTTTTTTTTTTTTCTGGAAATCTTCTTTTGGATTTGATTTCGAAGCTATCATATAATTTGAAAGTGGAAGAAATATATTATTAATCTTATTTCAGTTGTGTCTTACAACTGAAAATAACTGGCAGTTAATTTCCTTGGAGCAAAAGATAAATAGATTAATAAGAAACAACAAAGAAATATTGTGTCAGTAATTATTGAAATCGGAGAAACTAACCCCAATTTTTGTAGCTTCACACATTACATTATATACACATTAATACATCCTATAAAATTAAATATAAAGTATTTTCTAAGTATTTTGCTCTATTTAAATATGCCAACCCTTCCACAACTTAGTTTTTTACTTATACGTTGAGTTTTTTTCGCGTACGCCATCTGCTCGTAAAAAACATAAGCAAAATACTTGAATATCTTAAACTGTAATTGGTTCATGTCTCTGCTAAAACGACTGTTAACAGCTATTTAAGCAAAGAAAACGATAGCAGATTACAGAGCGCCAAGCTATGCGACTTTCTACACCTAATTTAAGTGTCTTATACGGAAGCTTCTACAAAATTTCAAATCAATTTATTAATTAGTTTTGAGATAACTCCATTTTCAATGTTACGGGGGCAATAACGGTAAAATGTGTAGCTACCTTCCCATATTAAGATCAACATCAGCTTTTATATTGCTCCCTAAAATACATATATCTGCCTCGATTTTAGACCTAAATTGCGTCGCTCGACGGTGAGCTTCATCCGTACGTACTTCAGATCTTGGGTCTGCATGAGCGCCAACTGGTCAGGCGTATGCTTGTCCGTGGCCTCCCGATCGCGATGCACATCGTCGCTCAGCTTTCAGTTGATCATATGTAGTACAACTCATCGGGATTCTTATTGAGGCTTGTAGAGCACCTTCAGCGTTCTCTCCTTGTGCTGTGCGTCGATGGCACACTTTCTGTAGTCCTTCTGCTTCTCGAGCAGACCGAGATGCTGGCGCGCCACGGGTTGATGGCCTTCGCGATGCACCTTCCGATTGCTTTTGGATGCCCTTTTCCAGGACGACATGCCTGCCTACATAGAATTGTTTATGAAAACAAAATAGCGTGCAGCGATAAGAGCAGTCAGAGTCGTGCGTTTACGGAAATATTCGCTTTCTGTCTATCGATAGGCGAACACACTTAAGTCACTTTCCTGATTATCGATGTTCTGAAAGAAACATCCAATGTGACGATATATCGTTAATAAAAATTGAATGAAATAGCAACCTAATCATTTTATGTCCACAGACAAAACGATCTAAACATTTAAAAAAATAAAATAAAGAGAAAATTACCCATTTTAATGCAGACATGCTTTGCAACTATCTTTATATCTTACACATCTGTTAACAGCTCTGCGCTGATTGAAATAAGTAGAGCACAAAAACTTAACATTCATTGAAATTAGAAATTTGGTGTCCGCTCTTCTCTAATATTATGACATAGATGCTATCTACTTTCATTCATTCATATGTATGCGTGCTATTTACACATTATACGTAATAATAGTACAATTATAAGTGGCACTGTTCGAGTGTTCTCAAAATTGCACATTCAGCAATTTAATTTTGAATATAAATCATACTTCATTACCAGCTGGCTACTCTAAAAAGAGTGCAAATGCTGCCACTGCTCATCGATTAATATCGTCCACTGTGTCCAGGTTGATATCGAACTTGCTCGGCTATTGCATCTGCTATTTATCCTTTGATAAAAATTTAATATTTTTCGTCGGCCAAACAATAGTAACTTATTACGGAGGCTGTAACATAAACAGGAACAGGATGCCAGAAACTGAACAACTGCCAGAAGGTTGGGAAAAACGCACCAGCCGCTCAACCGGTAAATAAAAAATAACTTCTTTTAACAATCACCTTGTGAAGCCACAAACTTCGTGTACCTGGACAGGGATGAGCTACTATCTCAACGTGCACACAAAGGAATCCCAGTGGGACCAGCCAACTGAGCCGGCCAAGAAGGCCGGAGGCAGTGGCTCCTCTGGCGATGGCTCCAGTGAAGTGCAGTGCCTTCATTTGCTGGTAAAACACAAGGGCAGCCGTCGACCGAGCTCGTGGCGCGAGGAGAACATCACTCGCACCAAGGAAGAGGCGCAAATGCTGCTTGAGATTTATCGCAATAAGATTGTCAACAGAGAGGCTACATTCGAGGAACTGGCGCGTTCCTACTCCGACTGCAGTTCGGCCAAACGTGGCGGCGACTTGGGTAAATTCGGACGCGGTAAGTAATTCTCCCAATTTGAGGCGAAATCAAATATATAATATCCATTTCGATACTCTGCCAGGTCAAATGCAAGCGCCCTTTGAGAAGGCTGCTTTCGCACTGAAGGTAGGACAACTCTCGGACATTGTGGACACGGATTCCGGCCTGCACATCATAGTGCGCAAATCGTAAATTGAATGGGATGATGACATAGATATAGAGGGTATTTTAGGGTCCATTAGGACGCTAAGTTAAGCTCTCTGCAAACTAGTTTCGAAGCTATATATAATTTTTGAAGAGCATATGGAAATCACTATATTTAAGACATTGTATGCTATAAATATAATTTTGAATTTTGATTGTAAAAAAATAATAGGGGCTCTTAAAATTGTAATTACCCATGGAACTTGGGGTGCATTTCTCCAAAAATATTGACACAAATTGAATTAGTATTATGTGAATGACAAATTGTGTTTCTGTTTATAACAGGGTATGATGGGGGGCTTCTTAAAACACACACCAAACGGACTAATAACACTTAAGAGTAATAAAGTACTCCCAGTATTATTTGCCATATCTACCATGATGAAGAATTTCATATTCGCGGCTTGCGATCGCCCGCCTTCTAGAAACCTCGAGAGCTCTGGAGATTCATCTGCTTCCTCCTCTGTGCAGCTGTAGAAGTCATTTTAGGGGACTTTGAATCTATTCGCTGCTCCTCCTGTTTCACTAATTTAATTTATCCATTCAATCAAGCCACAGTAATTTACACCCTTCAAAACTAACGATTTTCATCTACATACTAACATTCAACCATTCAAATAAAACCAAATTTACAAACACGCATGAAAATACTATATTAAATAATGGTACAGAACTATTCAAGCGCATTCACTTAATCTAATGCCTATATACTTCAAATAAACCATTTTTCTATTGCTTAAGGTTCAATTTGCTGGCCAAAAGTTTGGCGCCCGACGTCTTTTGGGCAAGCAGCAACTGGAGCAGCTCCTGCTCTCCTACAAGATCTCGGCAAGTGCTCAACAAGGTAGGCGATTCCTCCACCAGCTTGACGAGCACATAGCAAGCACGATTGATGCCCAACCAGATTTTAAGCTGCAACAAGCAAAATATTAAATTAATAATTGTAGAGAATTTTTGCGGATTCATTAAACTACCACATCGCTGGACAACTGCTGTAAGAGGTGTGCTCCAAGCGGATGTGTTTCGTGCTTCTGGTCGTTTTTAATCAGCTTCTTGAGTACATGATGCATGCCGGCCTCCTCGATGCCCACAACACTGGGCAACTCCTCCTCCACTTTGGGCTGAGGCTGATCCTCTTTGGATTTCTTTGCTGGTGTGCCCTCCTCGGCGTCGCTCTCTTCGTCGCTGCTGACAGGTGGCGGGGCTGCGCCATTGAGCTGTTTCTTTGTCCTACGCTCCCGTGTGGCCGCGTCTATGATGGCCTCCACATCTTGAGGCTTCCTCTTCTTGTTCTGAGCACTTTCAGATGGCACGGCCGATACGCGCCAGTCGGCCTGAGTGATTACCGGAGCCAGTGCAGCTACAGCTTTTTCATAATTCTCGCCCGTTACTGTAATTGATGATATCTTGAAATGGATTTACGCTGCCTCCTCTAATTATGTAATACCTACTGTGGTTGAGTATATCAGCTGTGACGAGACCAATGTGACTATTTGACAGCCAAAAGCCAGCGTCCTCAGCAATTGTCATAGCAATGGGTTCCTCGATCTGTTCTAAAATCTCCTTGCGACGAGCCTGCTTATCCTTCTTGCCAAAGGCCAGACCCTCCTCAATGGTCTTTATAAAGTCAGGATGGAAGCAAGTAGTGTCACCAGGCGCTACCAACCACTGCACCACACGACGTCCGTACTGATTGGCTACCAGGGCTTTTAAATCACCGTGCAAGTTATCATAGATGGCCTTTTTGGTGGCCTTGGTGTCATCGAGGGCATTCAACAGCGCTATGAGGAAGACATGACCATGTTCATGCAAAGCAATCTTCAGCAGATGTTCCTTGATGTTCTTTAAAATGGCCTAACGGTGCGGATGAAAACAATTGGAATTTAGATTATTTGCTTGGGCAGGGCTTGTATATACTCTTGGTAAGGGTATTATAATTTTGTTGCGAAGTATGTATGAAGTATGTCAAGGAGACATCCCCATCCATTGAATTGTATTAGTATATTGAAACTTTTTTTAAAATAATGGCCAGAATATGTAGACTTACTCTGCGGTTTTTTGGGGTGGATTTGTAGAAGCATATAATAGCCGCCTCGGTGCCATCCTTAGTGGTCAGCATGTGTGGTATTAGTGGAGACAAAGCGCTCATCGTTTCCTCAAGCTTCTCTTCGTCCGTGGCCTGCATGAATTCGAGTATGACGGCATGAACCAGAGAGTTGTCCACCAAATTTTTATTGGCTATGTGCTCCAGGTTGGCCTTGACGGCGCCCATAATGGAGGCCTTCATGTTGGCAGCCTCCTTGTATGTGTCGCTCAGTGTATGGACACCATCGTCCTTGGACTTCTTATACAGATCGCTATAAAATTCCTGGCGCATGTAACGGCGCTGCTTTTCGCTGGCATTTAGATATATATGGTCCAATATCTTGCTGGCAATATTGTGACTCGACAGACGCACTATATTACCCATCAAGCCATCCACCAGCTTGGATTTCGTGGCCGGAGCACCATACTTGAGCATGCGCTGGACGCAGAAGTGTGCATACTTCGACTGGCACATGTCCACGGCGTGCGGCATTAATTTGTCGGACAGCTCAATGCGCAATGCAGGCGTTGCATGCTTTAGCATGCACTGCAACACGCGCGCCGTGTCGTGAGCCTTGGCCACCTTGGAGATGGTGTCGCCAACGTTGAGAATTTTGTACATTTGCTGCACGAGTTCATCTTTGTTCTGGGTACGACGGCTACAGTGATATACATTTCATATTATTTTCGGATTGAATCTTTTGATGAATCGGAATCTGATAAACTTACCATTTCACTTGCTCGTAGATTTTCTTAACCTCCTGTGTAATCTCGTAGGTGTCGCGCGTACTTTTCCGTTTTAGTTTTAGATCCTTTTTCTCCTGCTTAAATTTTGTCCAATCTTGCTTTTCATCGGTCGCTGGTGTTGCGCCCTTGCCAGGATGCGGCTTCCCAGTTGCAAACTTATTACTACTATTCTTGCCCTCAAAACCGCGTTTTCCATTGGCTTTAAATTTGTTACCAGGCTTAGCCGGTGCATTCTTTTTGAACAACGGCCTTTTAGTGTCGTTTTTCTCGGTTTTGGCAGTTTGCCTAGGTTTCGCGGCGTTAAGCATTTCTTTGCAAGGCACCAGAATAGTGAAGTGTTGTTTGGGTTCAACGGCAACACGTGCCAAATAAATCGGATTCGATGGTAAAACCGATTTTGACATCGACACAGAAAAAGTGTTGCGTAGCGATTGCCAGTTAGTCAAGTTCCAACACTGTTCACATATCAATATCAATCAGTTAATATGTTTGTTTACAAGTGCCGAGTTACAACCGATAGCTGCAATTAATGACAAATAAATCACCAGAATACTTACACAACATATCCAAATGCTTAGCCAGCATGAAGTCAAGATATTGTGTTCAAAATGTAGTGTTTTTAATAACTATATACAATTACTGCAGAAATGCAATCGACATACATGCATCTATTTACACGCAATCATAGTTTCATGGAATAATAACAATATTACATAGATAAAATATTTAACAAGAAACAAACGCATTGCGAACTCATAAAAATAAACAAAGTTCTTTTTGTTGTCCGCTGTCCATATTAGCGATATCGAACCCAAATACTATCGATACAAACATCACTGGTACCCACCTCTGTTGTACAGTCGCCACTGTCGCGACGGTGGATATATAAATAATTGTTTTTTTTTTTCGCGGCAAAATCAGCAAACACTTTTTCTTATAAAAGAACTTGCTGCATTTTAAATAATGGGTAAGCTTGGCAAAAGGAAATTTACGGTACTCCCCAAGATCAACAAAAAAAAATCCGACGGTTATTCCGACAACGATGAAAACTCGAAAAATGGAGCCAGCAATTCGGTCGATGACGAGCACGAAGTCGATAGGGAGGACGGCGATAAGCAGGATTCAAGTTCCAAGAAACAAAAGCTTTCCATTGGTGCAGGGAAAGCAACCACACAGGAGCACGATAGCGAGTCGAATGAAAGCGATGACATGCCACTGAATGGCAGCAAGGCTTCCAGTTCAAAGGCATCACCACAAACAAAGCAAAAGAAGATATCCAAATCAAAGGGTAAAGTGCCAGCAGCTGAAAAACATCAAAATAAAAAGATATCAGCCAAGCCCGATGACAAGGAGAAGGACGAGACGGACGACGAAAGTGGGGAGGCAGAATTTGAGGTAAGCTATTTGCATTTGCAGGAGAATAAGACGATTTTATTATTGAATCTATCTAGGTGGAGGCCATCGTGGGTCACAAGACCAAGAACGGAGAATCATTTTTCCTGGTGCACTGGAAGGGCTACGGAAAGGACGACGACAGTTGGGAGCCCGAGGCAGACTTGAACTGTAATGATTTGATCGAGGAGTATCTCAAGAAGGTATTTTTTTTATTCCCACTTAATATAGAGAATTCGCCGTTTTAGATGATTTCGATATGTATTTTTTAGTTTTCCGTCAACTAAATCCGACCACTCCTCCCTTAATTCAAATAATTATTTTCAATAAGGATCCTTCTTTCGGTATTTTAGAGACTGGTTTGTTTTGAATACTGGAATTGTTTTCGCAAATGATAGTAGATATTTTAGTACTTTTTCTTAATCAAGTCTAAAAAAAGAGCGTTGGAAGATATATCGCGAAGTAAAATGATCAATGAACTCAAATTGAATAGAATGGAGCTTTAATAATTCTACATTTTATGAATCAATATTTCTATGATGTTGATCGCAACGGCTTTTGTAGTAACGCAAACAGCTGTGATAAAAACTGAAAAAAAACTGAACTGAAAAAAAAACAAAATCGATTTTATCTGATAGGGATAAAAATATACTGAAATCGTTGTTTGTCAATATTTGAATATAGCAAAGAACTTTAACTTTAGCTGACGTTGCATCTTAAACATTTGTTGCCAAACACATCTGTATGTGTGTAAGAATAACCTAGGATATATCTTACAACAAATTAATGCGTCTGACTTTTTTATGTACTGCCAAAGACATGGCTATATCTATAGTATTTGGTACTACCTTAAGCCGCTCTAACTGATAAAACTACCCAACTTTGTAGACTAATCCCAAGAAGGGCACAGGCGCAATAAAAAAGTCACCGGCTGGTGTTAACGTCGGACGTGGACGCAAGCTGAATAAAAAGATTGTGAGCGACCCCGAGAAGGAATGGGCGGTCGAACGTATTGTCGACTTTGTCGACGATGATGAGCAAGGCGGATTGTATCGCATACGCTGGAAGGGCTTTGGCGCCAAGGAAGATACTTGGGAGCCCGAATCGAATCTGTCCTGCGAGGGCCTAATCGAAAAGTTCAAGAAATCCATGGAGGCGCATCGCAATGTGGATGCAAAACAATTGCGCGAGTCGCCGAAAAAAACAAAGCGCTTGGTCAATGAGACAATACCACGCACCAATTTTCACAATCGCATTGAACGCTCATCGAAACGGTCTGCTGCCAAGAATCGGTAAGAATCATTCTATCTCACTCTCCTTGTTTGTCTCATATATATTAATGCTCTCTCTTTCACACACAGCGTTTTCTATGGCGAGGAGTAAGTCGTGCAGTACCACCAGTCCAGTATGAAATTCACGACTATAAAGTGCATGGTTGATTCCGGAGTGGTAATTAAAATTTAATTGCAACGCAATTAGCTTGAGTTTTGGATGGCATGTGAGAGTGGTCCGAGAAGCGACACGTTCCTAGTTGTTAAGAGCATTGTTTAAGTATGAATCCGTAACAGCAGAACATAATACACTACACAGCACAACACCAGACACAACGCATCTACATTTTTAGCTTTAAGCTATATTCAGTTCTGGAAAAAATATATATATATATATATTATTAGCATGTAATATGTCTCTCACTGATTGTGTAACCCCTTTTGGTTAGACTTTAAGTTTTAATAACACCATAAAAACTAAGCTTTAAGTAAAAAATCCCTGAATAAAGTTGTTTCGTGGTAGCTAACTTTAATATAAACCGTCTCGTATAAGATCGAACAATGTAAGCGGCATTGACTGTCACTATTATAATTATAGACATAAATGTAAAAAATTATTCACAATTTGTTTCAATCATTTGAATTTAATCATAAGTTATAGTCTTCTCTTGACAAAAACATTTCGTTTAACATGAAGCGATTTCTTAGACTGGGTGGAAATGGCAAGAAAAACAACAAAATGGTTTCAGAGAAGCAAGCCAGAATAATGTAAAAAGGCGAAAAACTCGGCGTGTAAAATTTTTTTTACTGAACCGTTTTTTTAGAATAAACTTTTTATCTAAACTTATGTTGCACACAAACCATAAATATGATTAAGAAAAGGTAACATTCGATGGATGTGTTTATTTTAAGATTATTTTGGACGCACTTTTTTGTGTAATATTTCAAAATATAATTTAATTGCTAATTGTTTGCAGATGTTAAGGTCTACTGCTTTGGAAGATGCTGTCCTATATGAACTAAGTTGGGATATAAGCTTGTCTCATCGATATTGAATATATACAAGTGCAAAATAAGGCTACAATGATGGAAAATGAACGAAAAAAGTACGCTCAGATGATGTTGCAATTCCAAGTTGCTGGTAAAAGTTTCTTTCTTTACCGATACCGATAGCAATGCAATCTGTAGATGCAAATATATGTACAGTGTCTCGCAGTTCAACTGGAACAGCGCCTAGCAAAAAAGTTAATTGCCTGCCATAAACAAATTATTCAATATTTTTCAAAAATTCCAAAGAACTATGGCAGGTACATATATTGGACTACCTAAATGACTATATGACCCCCATAAACTGGGGTTTTCCCACCGGCTAGGTCGGGTTATGTAAAAAAGTACCTTAATTTGTGGTCACATATTATGTGGAACAATGGCGTTGTGGACACCTGGGTGCCATAAAACCCAGATTTTTTACGTCAGGTTGATTATTTTTGGTATAAATAGACCAATCCTTCGTAGTCAGATTAGTTATATCCTGCATCTCGAGTGCAACCAGCCAACAAGGACTATGTGCAAGCGGACTACCATTGAACAACGGAAACTGATCCTGGAACACTTCAGGATTGGATATTCATATCGCCAAATAGCTAAAATGGTAAATCTGAGTACCACAACTGTATTCAATATCATTCGGCGCTTCGTCGACGAAAATCGGATACAGGACAAGGTCAGAAATGCACCAAACAAGATTTTCACCGAGGAGGAGGAGCGGAGGATCATCAGGAAAATAAGGGAAAATCCAAAGCTATCGGCTCCAAAACTGACTCCACAGGTGCAGGATGAAATGGGGAAAAAGTGTAGTGTGGAAACTGTGCGCCGGGTTCTGCGCAAACATGACTTTAATGCCCGAGTACCACGGAAGAAGCCCTTTATAAGCGCCAAAAATAAAGGGACTAGGATGACGTTCGCCAAAACCCACTTGGACAAGGATTTGGAGTTCTGGAACACAGTCATATTTGCAGATGAGCCCAAATTCAACATTTTTGGCTCAGACGGACAAAATTATGTGTGGCGACAGTCCAATACTGAGCTGAGTCCCAAAATCCTAAAGGCAACAGTCAAGCACGACGGAGGAAGTGTCATGGTATGGGCATCTATCTCGGAAGCCGGTGACGGAAATTTTGTGTTTTTTGAAACAACAATGGACAAGAGTGTGTATTTCAATATATTAAAGGAAAATTTACTCCAAAGTGCCAAGAAGCTAGGAATCCGACGTACTTTCCAGTTCTACCACGACAACGACCAGGACAAAAGCCAAGCATAAGTCCGGATTAGTACAGTCCTGGCATATCTGGAACTGCCCCCACATGATAATTCCACAGGCCCAGTCTCCAGACTTAAATGTTATTTAAAATTTGTGGGCTCTGCTGGAAAATAACATCAGGAATCACAAATCCGATCTCAAAAATGCGCTGCTGGATGAGTGGAGCAAAATCAGTCCAGAAACGACCCGGAAGCTGGTATCTTCCATGAATAATAGGTTAAGGGAAGTTATTAAGGCTAAAGGGTATCATACTAAGTATTAACATCCTTATTTAAGTTTTTATACGCCTAATATGTTACTTTTCTAAGACTGTTCCAAAAAAACTTTGACATGTATTTTGGATATGTTTTCAGTTTTTGACTAATTTCAGTTAATTATTTAATATTTTAATAAAAACTGAAGCTTCCTTTTCAAACGTGATATAACATAAAACAAATTGGCATTTAAACATTTTGCGTTTATTGTTTTGTTTAAAAGTTATAGCACTTTAAATATTTTGCTAGGCGCTGTTCCAGTTGAACTGCGAGACACTGTAGATAGGTCGAAGGTTAGGTTAGGTTAGGCGGTTATCAACCAAAAAATTCTTTATATTTTGGTTTTCCTCCGTTCCTCGTGTTAGTATTTTCAAAAGTTTAACCAGCCGGTTGCTTTTATAAAAGTCGCTATCTTGGCTGGTCCTAAGATTGTCATTAGTGACAGAAATGTCAGTGTAAAGTGGCGAAACGTTTCCTAGCAGGTAGCTAGAGGCATATAAATACCTTCTTTATCCATGAGGAGGGGTAGTAATGTTTCTTTTATGGCTAGCTCATCAGCCCTGCAATTGCCTTCAATATTCTGGTGACCAGGCACCCATGCTGGACCATCTTATGTAGAGATTTGCGACAGCTTGTCACCGATATCGAGTTTGCCGATATCGCATTAATGGATTTTATAACCGCCTGGCTGTCAATATATATGTATACTAACATTGCCTAGGCAGATATTTTGTATTTTTAGGCAGTTTAATGCTTCTTTTATAGCTATTACTTCTGCCTGGAAAACATTAAAGTGTTTTGGAAGGCTGAAGGATAGCTGTACACTCAGTTGCTCTGAGTAGATTCCTCCGCCTACGAAAAGATCGAAAGTCGTATTTAAATTAATAGCCTTGTTTTCTTAGGGTTTATTGCATTTGTATCTGCTGTTTGACAATCTGTATTTGTATTTCGTGTGTTGCTCAAGGTGCACCAAGGAGAAAATATGTATGCGTGTACAGTTCAAAGTAAGCTAGGGATCAACTAGGTTTAGAGGCCAGCTTGCAGACCGAAACCGGGACCCTTTGGCTCCTCACTTAGAGAAGTGGGGTTGCCCTTGGGTTCGCTGGCGAAGCGTCCATTCCGTGGTCCGGGAGGAGAGATCTTATCGGCTTTCAGATCGCTCAGAATATCCTGCATATCCTTAGCAGTCAGATCCTCCTGCATGAGACACGTCTTAGCAACTGTATTCGTTATTTAATTTATACTACTTACATAGTAGTCATCATTGATGGACACCATCGGCGCATTGACGCAGGCGCCCAGACACTCAACCTCAGATATGGTGAACTTGTTGTCCTTTGTGGTCTCGCCAACGCCAATGGCCAGCTGCTTCTTGCACTGCTCAAGGATTTCATCGGAGCCGCGCAGCCAGCAGGGCGTTGTGGTGCACACCTGAATATGGTATTTGCCAGTCGGCTTGCGCATAAACATTGTGTAGAAGGTGGCCACCTCGTAGACGCGCATATTGGGCAGGCCGAGAATATCGGCCACCTTGTGCATGGCCGATATGGGTAGCCAGCCGTACTGTCGCTGCGCCAGATCGAGCAACGGTATCATCGCGCCCCGCTTGTGTCCCTCCGGATAGATGCTTAGGATGGCGTCCACACGCTTTTTGTTCTCCGCACTGAACTCGAATGGTATGCTGGGATTATCCTCAGGCGTGTCACGGTGCACGAAGAGATTGTCACTACGCTGTGCACTGCTGGTGGCAATGGTGCGCAGGCTACCCCGCTAGAAAAAATTACATGCATATTGTTAATGTTTTTGTTTTAGTGCAAAAATTACATAACTTGAAACTGTCATCGACTGTTTGCTTGCCAGCGGCTGGCGTTTTTTAATCGCCGCATTACTTACGACAGCGGCCAGCGTTTTTGCAGCACAATTCGAGAGCATATTGAGCTCCTTCAATCAAAAAAACTATGTCTTAAGTTGAATTTAATTGATGTATCGTCAGTGCCTCTGCCAGTGCCCCAACAATTTCGATTGCCTCGGTTTCCAATCAGCTGGAGCTGCTTTGTAGCCTTGCTTATTCGATACCCCGATTTATCGGTTGGGCATTTCACTGGTTAGTTAATCGACTAGCAGCACTCCACTCATGACTTATTATATTAATACGAAAATATTTTTTCGGGTATTGATTGAGCAAGCCTAAGTAAAAATCAGACTGACAATTGAATAAGATAAGTCTTGTTTACAATTATGTTTTGGAATTATCGATGTTATTAAAAATATGTTTTCGATTAGACTACCACTCAATACTTATCGAGTACATAACAGGAATATCGACGAGCGAAGTTTCAAAAGAAAAAGGCAACATCGTTTTGCGAATATTTTATTTTTGGAACATTAGATTAAAGACGCAATGATTTGTTTAGTAAATGCATTCAGGTGCGGTGTATAGCTTGAAAAGCAATCACGCCTCCTGCTCATAGTTCTCAGTTTTCATGTCGTTTAAGCCAAGCTGCTCATTATCGTCGTAGCTGCGCTTGTATCTCTCCACAGTTAGCTTGTCATCGGGCTCGCCGTTGTCGCTGAGCGATTGTACATATGTGTTCCCAGCTGGATCCTCTAGAACCAACGTGATGGAACTTTCCATCTTGAGCACATCGTCGTATTTGTCTAGGAAGCGCTGCATCTGCTGCTTGGAGGGCTCATCGGCAGAATCGTGAAAGAAAGTGCCATCCAGCTGTTCACGCATGGCCACCAGCAGGCCCTCGACGGTCGTGAAGCGGCCACAGAGCGCATGCGGACCCACATCCATGTCCAGTTCGGGTATGGATAAGCTGCACGTTTCCGACTTGAGTACATCGCGCGTCAGATCTTCTTTGCTGGTAATTCGGACAGTGAAGCGGACACCTTCTGGCTCAATGCCGCCACCAGATTTGACTTCATTCGTTTTGTGGCCGCATCTGGAGCAGACGGTGGCCATGATGACCACCTCCTTAAAGTGCGGTATATTCGTCAGTTTCATGTTCGTCTCGCATGGCGACTGGCAGTTCGAGCAATTCGTGGCGAACTGCAACACCTCCCCATGCAGATTCTCAATGGGCCACTCGTCCTCGGCAATGGGTTTCAACAGGTTCTCCTCGTGGTTCTGCTCATAGAGACCTGCGAAATGTCACACACACAAAATCAGTTCCACCAAAAATGTAGACAAGGCATTCAGGGTATACAAAATTGTACATGTAGGTCCATTTGAAAATGATAAGTGATTTCTGTGGTAGTTGTTGTTGTTCACTAGCTAATGGATTTGAACATAAGACACATAATGAATAGGAACGCACCTAGTTGCTCGTTTTGTGCTTGGGTGCGGGTAAAAAAAGACGTTTTCAACTGCGGATCGTTGGCTGGTGCAATTGGATTCTCTATGAAGCTATTGCCGGAGATATCCTCGAGCAGAAGACGAAATGGTTTGGTCAGCTTAGTTAGTTGGCGCAGGCGATCAATGTAATCATCTATGGATGCGGCCTCTGTGGGATGGTCAATGCGACGCTTCTCCTGGTCCTGTGATAGGCCAGTTATGGTTCGTTCAATAATGCCCTCCACGGTTGTCACCTCGCCCTTTTGCGACTGCACGGGTATCTCGAGCTCCACCTCGGGAATTGTAACACTGGAATGATCGGAACGAACGACGCGCCGATTCAGATCCGACAGCTGCTGCACGTCCAGGGCAATGCGCACGCCGCTCTTTTGCATCTCGGATGCAGATTGCATTTCGTTGTTGGCGTAGCCGCAGTGGTCGCACTTGAAGGACATGAGCACCACTTCGCGGAAGAAGGGAATCTTGGTGGGCAGGAGTCGTGTTGTGCCCGATTTGAAGCAGCGCATGCATGCGGACTCTATCTCGACCACTTCTACCGCCTGATCGCCGCTAATGTCCTGAAATATGGGCTCCTGCTGTGCGGTGGCAGATCCCGTGCCACTCGCATCAGCGCTCTCGGCTGCAATTGTTGTGCTGCCCACCGACGACATTGTTGGTCTTCACTTCGACTGATATTGGCAATTAAAAATAAAATGTGTAACTTTTGCCTCACACAACGTGTGGCAACCAGCGAATCTCGATTATTCTGTTGAATTTTATCAACCAGTGCTGGGCAATTTCACTAGTTACTTATGACACTTTGCTGGCTGCAACGATATATTGATGGTTGCAAAGTATCGATTGCTCTTTGACAAAGTTATCGTTGCTTTTTACAATGAATATACGATGTTGTGATGCAGCCGATAGTCTTCGCCTCTTCAATTCCTTGTAACGAATTTCTAGCTTTGGTAGCTTTGTCTGCTGTCTGTTTGCTCACTTTTGTGCACTCAAAAATAATGCTTGAAATAAATAATATCCTCTTTAATTGAATTTGAATTGAATGATTGCAGTTCTAACAGATATATGAACATGAAACGACTCAAGGCAAGCTTCTTCTAAGACTTTCTAATTTAAACATGTTCTTCATATATACAAATTATGAGATTGGTCACCAAACAATAAACAATTATACGACTTTCTTTAGTTTATTTGCATTTCTTTATAGATATACAGAATACAATTTTAATTCGTACTTCACTTTGCTTTTATTTTATTTCTTTCCATCAAATTTTGAGATTTCGCTGCAAATGTTGTTGTTGTACAAGTTTGTATAAGAATTCATTACTTAAGTTTATCTTGATTTGGTAAAATTCAGTTTTCAAAAAGAATTCTAGTTAAGTTTCGCATATTATATTTTGCTTTTCATTAAATAGGCAATTCGGTTAGTTAATTTTCAAATAATTATTAGTTTTGTGGAATTGGATATTGGGCATAAATATTTTGCAGGAATACATTTTTATAGTGCAAAATTGTAAACAGTTTTAGTGTAGTGAACAAAATATACAAACACATAAATTGTCGGGTCAAATCAATATTAATATGTATGTATATACATATATTTATTTAGATTGACTCTTCTGTTTAGGAATCACAGTATTGTGCAAATAATATTATTCCATCTGCTTAAAAACACGTTGTCCTTCCTTCTACATTGCATAATGGCTGCGACTTATTTGGTTAAAAAGTTTTCAGTTATCCTTTTTATTTTTGCTCTTGCAATATTTAACTATTTCCTTGCAAGCAGACACAATACTAACAACTGAATAGAACCCGACCGGCAGTGCAGTTAATTAAATTGTTTTTCCTTTGTGTTCTATCCAAGAATAACGTTATTTGGAAAATCTATCGCTTTAAACTTTCCGCTCGAAACATTTGGCAATTAAATGCATTTTAGAAAGAGCAAGGTATAGAGTCGGCCGCTCCGAGAATGTGCTATATGTTGTTGCACCCTTAATTTTAATGGGAACATATAAAAAATGAGGGAATTTCCATGAATGTTTTGTGTATATATATATATATATATATTTTTTTTTTTGTTTTGATTTAATATTGACTATTTTTGTTAAGAAATCACAATATCTATGCAAAATCTTAAAAATCTGCCTTTATTTATATGTTTTATGTATTTGATGCATGTATAAGTACATATATATTTAAGTATACAAATATACATAAGTAAATGTATTTATATGTGTATCGCTTTATTATGAACTTTAGATCGTTGTCCGCTATACATGTAATTATATGTATAATTATATATATATACATAGACAAATGTATGTATGTGTATAAGTGTATATATATGCTTCATATGTGGCAGCTTATGTAATGTATGTGCCAACGTAAGGACGTTATCCCTATCCTTATTTTCCGTTTAGTATTTTCACTTTCTGACCACCTTTTAATTGTCTTCCTCAAAACTCGCTCATTTGCTTAATTCTCATCTCATTCGTTGGGATATGCGTGGTGTTGCAGGTGTTATGAATTGTTGTTGTGGGTTTCATTATGAGTTTTTTTTTTTGGTCTCCTGGTTTTTATGTTTTGTTTTTGTTTTTTATTTTGGACTGTTTGTTCAAGCTAATTTCATTACATACAAAACATTTTGCTAAAATCTAATTGAAAGAACAACAACAAAATGCTCTTCAGTGCCTAATACCAAACTAATTCAATTTTTTTTTTTATTTTTTTTTTATATAATCTTTTGCAAAAATTTGTCTAAGCAACCCTGTATGTTTATAAAGAAATAATTCGAAGCTTTTAGCCACATAATATACATATACGTTACCATATATGTATGTACATTCATAGCAAATTAAGCAGTGTACATTATACATATATTTTATAGTTTTTTCAATGGGATAACTAGCCGTAGAACTTTACAGCAAGTTCTGCAAGCAGAGCAACTCAATAGCCAAGTGACTTTTATAGCTTCTATTTAAGTATACATATGTATGTATGCATATAATGCACATACTTAAAAAATATACATTGTGTTCAATATGTGTATAATATATATACTTGTATATTATATAATTATTATTATATTTAATAAATATTTAAGATATTGTTAGGCTTTTGTATTTTGTCTTTATTTCATGAAATAATTATAAATAGTTGAATTTATAATCTAATTTAAAAAAAAAAAAACAAATTAAAAATGTTTCAAATGCTGTAGATTTTGGATCATAGATATATATGTCTATCGCTTGCAGTAAAGGCTATTTTGCGGGTATATAATCTAACGTACTTTCAATAAATCGTGTATTGGAACAAAAAGAATGGATTGATCCGAGTGAGATTCTAATTCGGAACTTGTAAAATATGAATGGCAGTTAGTTTCGGTGCCTCAATGGGGCATTTACTGGCTGACTTTGACTTTGTAAATGATAAATCTTTCAATCTTTATTATCGGCTCTAAGCGCAAATATGCTGCGTAAAAAATTCAAATTACCTAATTGCTTTACTTATGGAAATAATTATAAGTAGACAAGAAATTATGTATTTAAATTCATTGTAGGTTTGTAGTAAGTTATACGTATGGAGATATAAACATAGGTTTTCTGCCGATTTAAGTATTACAGAATTGAATTATGCTATGGACGTTTTTCAAAATAAATTAACTTAGGCATATTATAATAATTAGTGCACACATACGAAAAATAAACAATTCAATTATTAAGTTCATTTTTTAACTTTTTGCCATAAATTGTTAGTGTATATATTTTAATATTAAGCTTGCACAAAGTTGCTTGAAATTTATTGTTTTTCGATTATTTCATTATTACTATTTTTTTGTTTTTGTTTTTTGTTTCTTAGAATATTTACTTTGAAAGGCGCAAGCTAAATATTACCATGGATTTCGATTGTTTGACTATTTGATTTGTTTGTTCTATATCAAATATAAGCATATAAATATTTTCATGTTGTAAATTTATAAAAAAAAAAATTGCATCAGTAATTTGATTGCTCAACCAAAATGTCAGTATATCAACTTTCATATACATGTACACTGAACACAAGAAATTTGTATTGCTACACAGTACGAATTTGCAGCAAGCAAACCATTTCATCTCAATGATTTGGACTATATTATTAATAACTATATCATTTCAATTGCAATCATTTGCTGTATTTAAATTGTTCGAAATTATATAATTAACTGTCATAATAAATGTTTTTATTTCAACAGACATTGAAAAATAATTTTGTCTAAATGTAAACTTCATCTTGAGTTAAAGCACACGATCTTCAACAGACATAAAATACATGCAAGTGTTTTATGTTCATATTAATCCATTTTAAGTTCATATTAAATCTCAGAAGATTAAGTAATTGTATTGAAGTTTTTAATTGCATAGCCTTACATTGTTTTTATAAAATATTAGTTATTTGAAAAATATATAAATTTTGTCTATTAAATTTAAATGTATTTATAATTTTCTTTTTTTGCACTTCTTTAGATGGTATACAAAAATTGCGATTGACCGATTTTTTTTTTTAAATTGAAGCCTTTTTTGGAAACTGATATTACAAATTCTGTGTTTTATGTTGACTTCATTAAATAAATGCTTTGTACCAAATGACGAACTCTGTGTGTTTGAGTGCAAAAATGGGTGCAGTGGGTATGGGCACAGTTTGAAAAATATCCAATGTGTTGAAGTTATGCTCCTAACTCGAACCGCATCTATGAAAGATGCTCGAAAAGAAAAGAAACGAAACTGTTGGACAAAAGACTTCATCTTCATTTCAATGATCATCTTCACAATATTCTACATTACTGGAACCTACAGCGAACAATTTGCAAATAAAAGTTAATAAACGTTATTGACGAATGAAGAATGACTTTTACAAATATTGAATGATTATAGCCAATCCATTTGTAGAAATATCTCTGTGTCTTGCCTATGTCGGCAGTGAATTAATTCTTTGGTACAGTCCGTGGAAGAAAATGAATTAATGGGAAAGTATTGATTTTTAAGAAATATATGTTCACTTTTTTTGCATTTGACTGACCGCTTATTATTGCTTGAACACTAGGCGTAAGTGAATTCAAGTTTGCAATTAAAAAATATATTATTATTCCACCAAATTGAGATTCTGATCGCCGATGTTGCAAAGAAATGAGGACATCACACCTATTATCATTACACACAAATAAGTAGCTGCATTACATTTTTGTATTTTCTGATTTACATTCTGTAGTAATAACTAAATTATGTTAGCAATATGAAATAAGTACACACAAATAGGAATGAAAACTTCCTTACGACGATTTCATTTCAATATAATTTTTTGTACATTAATTTGATACCCTTTTACAGGATATTATAGATTTGTGCAGACGTGTGTAACGTTTATAAAAAACCTTTTGTATACCCTTGCAGATGTTATATTAAGTTTGTCGTGAAATTTAAAATTAAAATTTGAATGAAATGTATTCGACCTAATAATGCATACATATTCTTGATCAACATCACTAACAGAGTCTACATAGTCGGTCCTTATCCGTGTCCCTCACTTTTCAAGCTATTTTAATGAATCTTGAATTTATTCTTTTTCGCTGCAGGCAGTGCTGATGTCGGAGTCGGCCGGATTGGATTTTCATGTGAAATAGCTGACATAGGAACAATCGCTTAAGAGATGTGTTTTATGAAAAACTTTTTGTTGACAAAGATTCCCGGACCAATCCCTTTAGTAATCAGTGTTATGCCTCCATAGGATCAATCGGTCCGTTTTTTTTTTTTAAATTTATAAAGAAATTTAGATGTCAGCAACTGGACTCCGATCAATCGATGGCTAAATTTAAAATGAAACTTTACCTTCAAGGGTATATATATCGTATTTGACAAAAGAATTTTTATAAATGAAACATGATTTTACTTGCTGGTGAACGATGAGAACGAAGAGATGCATCAATCTTATATTATTATATATATGCAATATCAATATCGTCAGATATTTAATATGACATCTTTTGAACGTATATAATTTTTTGTGTTGGTTTTCATTACATCGAAGAAGGCGGAGATTATTATTATTATTTTTTTTTTTACATACATAAAAAAGCAATAAACACAAACTTTTTTCAACTGCGCATCTTTGAAAATACAAATTTTTCTCTTTCTCTTTTCACGTTAGTAGACACTTAAAAAGCTTTTGGTTTGCTTACACACATACGCACATACACATACGCACACGCACATACACACACACACATACATACACACACAGACACACACACACGCACACAAACACACATAGACACACACACACAGTCATACATATGTATACAGACACAGAAGTAGTAAATAAACTTGGATGTTGATTTTGAATGCACAAATTGAAAGTAAATGAAGGCAGCTGCCACGCCTCTTAGACGTAGGTGGCAACGGCAGCCGTGCTCGCTGTACCAGCTCCTGCGCCGCCGCCACTGCTGCTGCTGCTGCTGGCGCCAGCTACATTGGCCCCACCACCAACGGCTGAGGCTCCAGCCTGTGCCAGCTGCGGCTGCTGATGCGCCGCAGCGGAGTTGTTCAGCGGCTGTGGGCTAACCGGGGGCTGCAGCTTGCCGGGCACATACTGCCCAATGAAGGATCCGTCCTCAGTGAATTGACCTGTGAATAAAGGAAATTGTTGCGATTACAAATTGCTGAAGTCTTTAGCTGAATGTTGGGTTAAGTGTTTGTTTTAGCCACAACCAACACCAGTTTATGTTTATGTGTGTACATTTGAATTTTGATTGCGTTAGTTCAGTTAGACGCGTTTAGGTGTAAAGATGTAAGTATTATTAAGTATCATATATTATTTTTGGTTGTATGTTGCAGGTTTATTGAGTTAGCCGCTTGATTCATGATTCACGGCCAACGGTGACGATTGATTAGTCGTGCTTATGGCGTATAGTTTTAAGTATTTTTCTTATTGTTTTTTTTTGTTTTTAAATTGGGATGAACTAGGCTCTAACTACTGGGTATGTATATAACCAAAATAACTACATACATTAGCTGCATGCTTCATAAACATTACCTGGTAATTACATCGTACAAACTTAAGTGGGGTATCGGGTTTTGCAACTCAAAATATTGTCTTTTTTCTCTGACAAAACATTTAAAACTTTTTTTTAGAGAATATTTTAGAGCAACACATTCATCCACGGGCATTACAGCTATGTTGAAGCAATCTACTACTACTACTTTGTATCTTTCTTGAAATCGACATCAAAGTCTTAGATTGAAATGATTGGTGGGCAACTTTTGAAATGATGACTCAAATTTACACTTTGTTGTTTACTTTTTCTTTATTTTGTTTGTTGGTTTTCCTTTCTAATATAGTCATATAAAAATTAAATATTTTTATAGTTTTTTTTTTTTTTAATATTAAATAGCTCTACTTCACACAAAAAAAAAAAAACATAATATGCATTTTTTTCTTTGTTTTTAGTTTTTATGCAAAAAAAAACAAACTGTTTACAAAATACAGTTGTTTACAACATTTCCTTATATTTTGCAGTCCAAGCGAACTGATAAAAAAATGTATATATATATTTAAGAAATAATAAGGTAAAACATATTTCATTTAAAAATATTGTACACAAAATTAAAATTATGAAACAAAACTAAATAGAATTTAAAAGAAAATACACAAGTATGCAATTTTTTTGTTTTCAAAGAGGAGGAAACTAAAAACGGTGAATTTACATTAATTACTTTTTAAACAAAATTTTAAATTTAATTATGTATTTACGCATATGCATTACATGTTAAAAGTGTGGGGGAGGGCAGACTGAGAGCGCTAGTCTGATAAATAGGTGGATAGAGAGAGACAGACAGAGAGAGTGAGAGTGAGAGAACGAGCAACGAAACACGCAGCTGCTTTATTGAGAAAGGTGTGGTGGGTTGGGAGGCGGTTGAGTTGAAGATGGTGTGTTTTGGGTAACGGTTTTCGTTTCTGTTACTGAATTTGATGCTTTCTCAGCTGCTGCTACTGTCGCTAATTGGGCGAGTCAAGTCGTCAGATTTATTCGATTGTTATATAAATAAATGTAATTGTTTTTTAAGGAGTTTTTGCTGCATCGCTGCTATGGTTTGTTCTTTAACTTCATTTTGCTTGGCAGTCATTTTTTGTGTGTTTAGTTCTAAGTTTTAGTTATTTTATAAAAAATATTCGCATTCATATAGAAAATAAACTTGTCGCACTAAAAATTAACTTAAAGAAAAACTTTGATTTTCATGTAGAATTTTGGGCTGTATTTGTTGTTGTTGTTGCGGATGTTGTTCTTGTTGTTGTTGTTGTTGTTGTGGAGGGGCTCGGTTCGAATTGGTTCGGGTTGCTGCTTACAAATTAAATCAAAGTCCTTTGCGTCCATATTGGCCAATAAAGGAACCATCTTCGTTTATGCCTGCGTTTCGTTGTTATTTTATTTTTTTTATATATATATTTTTTTTGGTGTAGTATTTTTTGTTTGTTTTTTTTTTTATTTTAGATTTCATGTGTTGAAAAGAAAAAAATGATACGAATAAGTAAATCAAATGTTGTGCAAAATGAATAAAACATTAAAAAGAAACGAAGAACAAATACAAAACAAGAAAAAAATTAACAGCTAACCTCGGCAAACCGAAAATTACATACCCTTGCAGAGAGCTATATATGATGACCTACATAAGTCCTGGTCTGGCAAAATAAATATGCGGCAAAAGTTTAATCAACATAGCCTAAAACAATTAATACATTTTTGTTTAAATCAGACAGACGGACATGCTCTGATGCTAAAGCTTAACATAAATAAATATAAAAAATAAATAAATAAACTTAGGCATGCCGCATATTGCATACCCTTGTAGACATGTAAATTTTAGTTCAGAACTCGAAATATTTGCATTATTTTGTACGTTTTAGTTATATGTTTTATTTAAATGTTTTCTGTTTCACGGCTGACGGCTTATAGAAAATGCGGTCGGGCGGACAGACGCACATGGATAGTGATGTTGATGAAGAATATATATCGGATCGAAAATGTCTCCTTCGATGCGTTAACAATCATCACAACAAATTTATAATAGCTCCTACAAGGGTATATAAAGGCAAATACGTTCGCTAATATGTACATAGGAATTATCATCCACTTGGCTCCGTATAGTGTCACACGCCAAAAGTCAATAATAAGCCAATAAGCTGCCAAAATATGCCAAGCTTTACAAATGCAAGAAAGTGGCAACACACCAGCGGCACAGAAATATTATAAACTTTTTGTTTTTCTATATATATATATTTACACAATTAAATAAATAATTTTGTTACTCATAAATAACTGATGATTTGATAAAACATTTGCTCTGAAAATGTTGACAAAGAATCAGAATAGTTTACAAATTAAGATCTATATATTTGATTATTTAATTATCTGCGATTAACTTAAGTAGTAACAGCAAAATAGCATATTCAAAACATAATTATGCTGATGTTTGCCAACCTTAATAATCGATACAGTTTCTGCTCTAGGTTTCTGGAGAGATATGCGCAAATGTTTATCTTAAAAATTGATCATTTTAGCCTTTGTGTTGCTTAACCATATTCATGTATGTAGAGAAGGAGAACGCGTGCATAAAAAAGGTAACAAAACGATTTAGCGAAGCGCGACACAGGAAGCCAGCCAAAAAACAATTTATTTTGTTTGAAACAAAAAAAAAAAAAATAAGAAAAAGAAACAGCCGCAAAAAATGCAGAAATACTAAAGCGAATACCGGACAAATTGCTACCTGGACGAAATGGTTGAAGAAAGATGACGTCAATGCTGCCACCGTTGCCGCCAACGACAACAATTAGATGGTGCGCTTGTGTATCAGTGTGTGTGTGTGTGTGTGTGTATGTATGTGTGTGCGTGCATCAACAGAAATATTAGAAAGATAATTATGTGGGGGGATAGGGGGGACTAGGCTTTGTGAAATTGTTGGCTCATGGTGTTGGAGTCGTATGGCGGCGGCAACGGCTGCAGCTGGCCAGGCTGAGACTGAAACTGAGGCGAAGTCGATGGCTGCTTAATGCCAACCTTGCGCGCAGCGGTGGCGGCATGGCCGGCGGCTGTGGTCACAGCTACATCATCATCATCATCATCATCATCACCATCATCACCATCATCATCATCATCATCATGATCATCAACGTTAAAAACAAAAAAAATTGTGACAAAAACGAATGAAAATTTAAAAACAAAACAATACAAAAAAAAAAAACAATACAAAAAAAATATAAGAAAAACATTATACAAAAACAAAGACATGGACTGGGACACTTGGAACACTTGGGATGAAGTGGAGTTAACTATCGATCTTACCTGTATCGCCATCGCCATATTCGGCCATCGAATCGGTATCGCTCTCCACGCCAGGCTTATTCGCTGAACTAACGGATTGGCGACCAGCGCTCTTGTTGTCCAAACTGTAAAGCCAAAGAATGGAGAGTTTTATGGTTATCGACAATCATCAATTATAGAAGGGATGCTTACGGTTGCGAGTACTCGTGGAAACCGCCCTCATCCGGGTAATCCCGCCGGCCATTGGCCAACTCTCGATCGTGCACATCGTATTTGCCACCGCGATTACGCCGTATGATGCAAATGATGATAAACAGGATGATGATGAAGGCTAGAGCCAGCATCATGCCAATGAACCAACCAGCGTTCGCCAGACTCTCATTTCGCACCATTATTGGTCCCTCGATGCTGTTCGTATCAATCTCGCTGGTGGCGCTCTCCGTGTAATAGTGCCCATCGACGGATACAACGCGGAACTCATAAACGGTATCCGGATCCAGGCTGCCAATCTCCTGATAATCAACTGACTTCTCGGGGTGCTCATTCTTCCATTCCGTTTCACCCTTGATTCTGTAAATATTTTGTAATTTAATATACACAACTTATATATACTTGAAGGTTAGTCCTTTCTATTTCCTCCCCCCATCGAGCTTTATCATTGTATTTTTTCTAATTAATTTTTTAGTAGATTTAGATCGTAAATATATCGTTTTATCAGTTGCATTAATCTACACAACTTCTGAATATGCTTTTGAGCCACGTTACTTAAAAGTATATCGAAAAGAATATCTGTGATTGGAATAATAATAATAATATTAATAGTAAAGAATAAATTTGGAATATAAATTAACCTATATCATGAGCAGATCAATTGCTATTCGAACTCTTATTGTAGAAACCATTTGGGTTACTCTGCAAATTGTACTCTCATTTGATTGTCATCATTACCTGTACTTGGTGAAAAAGTGTGAGCCTGAACGTCCATCAGTGCTGGGCACCCAATTAATACGATATCTGGGCATACCATTTGGCGCCGACAGTTGTTCCCATGTCAAAGAGGGCGTGGACGGGGGCGCAATGTCCTCGCCCAGTGTGCTCTTCTCAATGTAATGCCTGCAGAGAGAGAGAGAGAGAGAGAGAGAGAGATCAAAAAGGGAATTTGTTGAAGCGTGCGTGTATCTTACTCGGCACCCTCGCCCATTTTGGTGGTGGCGGTAATGGAGATGCGATATTTGGTGTTCGGTTTCAGGCCGGCCATTTTCATGCGTGTGATGCGTGGATCGGTGATATGGGGATCGTATTCGCGTCGCTCGTCGACAAAGCTGCCGCGGACAACTTCATAATAGATCTTGTAGCCGGTTAGCTTGCCATTGGGATTGAGCGGTTTCTTCCAGGTCAGCCAGAAGGCGGAGGATCCAAGCGGATATGCCTCCAAGCTTTGCACCGCTGACGGCACACCCTCGGGGGTATCAAAGTCAATCACAGCGCTGGGCGGTCCATTGAAGCGTCCGTTGTAGACCAGAACGCGGGCATAATTCTTGGAGTCTGGCTTGAATTGTGTGACGAGCGCTTTGCTATGGATCGTATGAATCTCCCGCAAGCCCTCTTCGCCCTCCTTGTCTGTCCAAGTCTGGATCTTGTAGCCCTTGAAATGGCCGCGTACAGACTCCTCGCTGACCGGATTCCATCCGAGATAGGCATTGGTGGCACTGGTCACGTGCTGCATGCTAAAGTTGGTCGGCGCCTCGAGGGGACGATCCTCACCCGAGTAACCAATTACCTCCTCGGCGGCAACATTCGATTCACCGCGCTCATTGATGGCGACCACCTTGATGTGATACTTGACGAATGTCGGCTGATCGGCGATCAATAGATTACTCTGACGCCAATCGTAGATATCCTTGTTCTCCCAGGCGGCAGCGGGTATGTCACGTTTCCAGCTAACGCGATACTGGAAATTGGGTGCGTTGTGCTCAATTTCCGGCATCGGTGTCCATTCGATGACCAAATTGTTTGGCTCCGTGCCCTGGCCGACAACATTCTCGGGATTCTTAAATGGCACATTCGGTTGTGTGGTGCACGCGTCACTGTGACCGGACGGCGGCGATTGGCCAATTTTGTTAAATGCAATCACACGGTATGTGTAATTGGCCCATGGCGACATCTGCACAACAAATGAGAAATCCGTGCTGGGCACCTTGTCGAACGCCCGATCCCAGGAGGCGGGCGTGAACGAGGTGTTGTACTGGATCGTATAGTGGAGAATGGGGGAGCGATTGTCACCCTGCGGTTCCCAGGAGATCTCCGCCTTGTCGTCCTGGCATGTGATGCCGATCAATTTGGGGGCATTGGGCACATCCTGAACAATTAGATTGGCTCTCGCTGTGGCCTCGTCCAGTTCAGTTCTGGCCACGCACGTATATTCGCCCGAATCCAGCTCCATGGTCTTGGCAATTGTCAGTGAATTGTCATTGGTCTTGACGAAACGCGCCTCCGCATCAAAGTCGATGTTCTGGCCATCCTTGAGCCACTCGATCGTCAGATTCAGATTGGGATCATGCGCCTCATTGCAACGGAATGTCGCCGATTGGCCAGCAGCGACCTCATAGTTCTGCGGCTCCTGTGTGATCCGGGTGCGCTCCCTAACCACCAGGGAACCCTGGGCGGTGGCATTGCCAAACTTGTTGACCGCCAGGCAGGTGTAGTTACCATTGTCGGCAAAAGCCACATCCTTGATCTCGAGATCGCCCGAGGCGAGCACCGTATAACGTCCGCCGGTCAGCCAGTTGTTGTTCTGGCGCCATTTCACCTGCGGCTTGGGTGCGCCAAAGACGCGACATTTCATTGTGATGTTGCGTCCGTTGACGGAAAACTCGGCACGGGGCGGCTCCTGAATCTCTGGCGGCAGGGCCTGCACATTTAGATACACATCCTTGTAGACATAGCCCAGAGAATTGGTGGCGTTGCACCCATAATTTCCCGTATCTTTCTTAACCAGATTCACAATCTTGATGTAACTATTGGTAACTGTGCGTCGCGGATTCGGTTCGCTCTGTGCAATCGGTTTGCCATTGTGTATCCATTGGATCGTTGGCTCCGGATGTCCAGCGGCCTTGCAATTGAAAACGACCTCCTCATCCTCGGCGGCATTTTGTATTTCCGGCTCCTCGGTGAAATAGGGTATCGCATGGATTTTCAAATTGATCGAATAGGATTGGGCGTTGCCCACACCGTTGGACACGTCGCAGTTGTAGGTGCCTGCATCGTTGAGATTCGCTTGCCTGATCACCAGCGATTTACCATAATTGCCTTGCGTAATGTGATCGCTCCACTGCACCCGCTGCCCGTCCTTATACCACACCGTCTGTGGTAACGGTGTCCCGCCATAGATGCAATACAGTTCCACTCGTTTGCCGCGCAGCGCCACCTCATTCTTACGGGTCACGTACTGACGCTTGGGCGGATGTCGATTCTGGGAGGCGCTCACGCCCATCTGCTTGACGTCGAGGAGTATCTTGTTGCCGATCTTGTATTCGTTGCGGAACACCGAGGTCGCCGAGCAGGCGTAGTAGAAATCATCGCTGGCATCCTCGCGCGTCACATTTGAGAACCAGAGCGTGCCCTCCGGATCGAGGGTCATGCGTGAATTGTTGATCGATTTGATGCCCGATCCGATGCTCTGTTGGATCAGCCAGTTAACCGTTGGCTTTGGCCAGCCGTCGGGCGCCTCGCACTGCAGTGAGAAGGGATCACCCTCGTTGGCCTCAACGCTGCGTGCCACCTCGTCCTTGAATGCATTCAGCTCCGCCTTGCGCACAAACACCGAATTCGATGTGGCAACACCAAACTCGTTGCTGGCAAAGCACTGATACTGTCCCAGATCCTCATCCTTGGGCGATGTGATCACCAATGAGCCGCGTCCGGGCTGCCGGGACATACGATTATCGTATGCCTGCCAGTCAAACGGTTTCCCGTTCTTGATCCATCTATATCTGCAATTAGATAAAGTCATTGCAAATTTTATGAGTAACAGATATATTTCCCAGTAAAAAGAAAACTCTATTTGCTAATTCTCGGCAAGTATTGGCAACGACAATCCAGCTAACATTCTTTGCAGATACCAAAAAAATAACTGGAAACAGAAATAAATAAACAGAATTTCCCAACCTTTCAGCTTATAATACTTTCCTCCATATAATCTTGAATGCCTATTTTTTTAATTCTTGTTTAAAAGTTTTCATTATCCGGACATATTTCGTTTATTCAAACGAATCTGTCATAAAACTAAAGCTTCCGTCCAAATTCTGATTTCTAGCCCTTGCCAATCCAGTGAGAAAGACAATCCGGGCCAACTGGTTTATTTTAGATCATTTTTCTAGTATATACCAATTATTGTTTGTCTACTCGTTAATTAACGTAAATATCAAGTGCTTTACGCAAACTTCTCACTCACTATGAATGCGGTTACATAAATTTGATTATCTTATTACGATTATAAATATGTGTGGAGATTAAAGACATTACTAATTTGCTAAAACAGCGAAAGAAATATACATATATATATATATATATATTTCCTGGTTTGCTCAATTGCGACTCATTAAGCGTCGGCGCTCTAACAAGTTAATTTCCACATTTAATTTGATTCAATCTTCAATCATACACATTACGTATATTTTTTTTCGTAATTTTCTTTTTGTTTCTTGAGCAATGAGATATTTAATAAGTGTTCATATTATAACTATGACGACTTGTTTAATTTTCAATTGCGAAAATGGTTCATTAAACCGAGTCTGCCGGAGCCTGGAAGCAGTGAGATCGAGGAAGAGGATGAGGATGAGGCCTCTCATTTGCCTCAAGCTTTACGTAATTGCAATTAAGCGCAAAGGAAGTAAACGAGAGCAACAACTCAGATGATGCTTTATTTTCGGATATTTTTTAAGTTTCTCATTCTTATTTTCATTCTCTCATTCTCTCTTTCTCTCTCTCTCTCTCTCTCTCTCTCTGTCTGTCAGTCTGACAGTCTGACTGTGTCCCTCTTTCATAAGTCAATTATGTGAACTGGTCGAGCTGCTTGAGCTTGTTAAGCGCTGAATTTTTAGTTTTTGTGAGTTTTTATTATTTACTCAAGCGGCTCCCGAGACATCGAGAATCGTTGTCTCTCACCTCTCACCTCTTACCCCGGCCCCTGTTCCAGCTGCCGGTCATGGAATAGGTCAATCACATGAATTGTTTTTAAGTGTTGTAAGTTGCAATGCAATGTTTAAAACGGGGCAAGATGGTGGGCTTGCCACAGCTCGCCACAATGTGGCTGGTTGGGTTTGTTGAACTTGTAAGTGTGCTGTGGTTTGTAACAAATTTAACTAATTTATCATCAACAAATCTTCTTCTGCTTCTTTGCGAACTTATCGATATATTTGTTCTGTATTTTTTAATGTATATTTTTAATTCCTTCAATTAATAACTAATAATAATACTTAGCCTAAAGGTATGCTATTCTTGTATAGTTTCATACAAATGTAATCTTGTTATGTGATATATATTACTATACAGAAGTAGATAGTACACAAAATTCCATATACTGAAAATGGGCTGGCAGCTCTTGTCTCAACTGCTGTTGCTGTTGCCAGGGCAATAAGGGTGACGTTGTGCCAATGACACATTAAGTTGGTGGGCAAGTCCATGGGGTAAAGTTAGACTAACCCCTAGTTAACCCCATGGTAGCCTAGTCAATAAACGCGCTGACTCAGTGTGACCACCCCCATCCTCGCATACACCCGTATACCCGTATCCCGTCCTTCGTCTCGGCACTACGCGCACAGTTCACTCAACCAAGTCGTCGTCATCAGGCAACACCATCAACACCATCAACACGAAGGCAGCGAAGCGGGCAGGTGCTGCTGACCGAAAAAGTTAAGCAGCCCAACTAAACCGGCTAAATGTGCAGCGGCCCACACCCTCAACTGAACCCTAACCCTTCCCTACTGTTGCCAACGGCAAGAGTTCCTACCTCGCTCCAGCCCTCCCTTTTTCCTTCCTTTCGCAAATGCATGCAACTTCCTTAAGCCGTTTGTCTGTGCAACTGTAACTGTAACTGTATGTGTGTGTGTGCTTTTTGTTGGGTTGCCAGCTTGACTGCCACTTAACCCCAGCGACTTTGTAATAGTTTTTGGATGGCTCCTTACCAGATATCTATCTATCCATCTATCCATCCAACTCAGCTCTGCCTCTGCCAGGCACAAAAGTGCGATTAAAATCTCTTTAGAAATTGCGGGCAGGCAGAAGGCTTGGTGCTTGCTGCTTGCTGCTAACTGTATGAGTCATCACAACACACACAAAACACACACCCAGCGATGGGTTGTTGCTTTTTTTTTATATTTTACTTTTCTTTTTTGAAATGGGGTTGCAAATACCAAGCAAGTCAGCTTGCCTTACCACAAGATACCCTTGAGCATAGAATCCACGGGTAGCGGAAATGCTTTCTGCTGAATGTTAACTCATTGCTACAATTTTGTACAACCCTCATTAACAATTTTGAACAGGGTACAGGGTAGTATAAACAGCATAAGTTTAACAAAATGCCAGAGCATATTTTTTAGCGCATTACTATACGGTTGTGAGGTTGGCAACACGCTCATTGCGGCTGCTTTTATCTGCATGTGGCATGCGAATAGAAAGCCCTAACCCACTTCCATATTTTGCTTTGAAGTGAAATAAAGAAAAGTAACCAAAACAACAACCACAAGTAATTGCAATATTTATGCAGCGGCTCCATGCGCAAAAATAGCACCAACTAAAGAGTTAGGCAGTTATGGAGTTAAACCCCTTTAAAAACTGCAAGCAGCAAAATTGCAGATGGATCAGAAAGTGTTGTCTGTTATTTATATATCGATTTCTGATGTAATGTCAGAATGATGCCTTTTGCAACTAGTTTGTAATGTAAAGGCACTGTCGGTGTGCTTTGAATGACATGTAACTCGAGAGCAGGGATCAGAAACGGGCAGCTTTTGGATAGAGCCGCGAAGCAAATAAACGCTACCAGAGGGGGGGCAGGCAACAAGATGAAATGGAGTGAACACAGATGACGTCGCCAGGCTGAGAGCTGAGGGCTGATGGCTGAGAATGTTGTGGATTTGTGCTGTGGCTAGAGGGTTGCCATTGCGCATTTTACAGCGAAATGCTTTTACGCTCGATATGTGCGCGAATAAGTGTATGTACACATAAGGCTCGAAGTGGAGCACAACAATAGAATTATCAAAAAAAAAAAAAAAAAAAAAAAAAATAGTTGTGAGGGAGGAAGGAGGTAAGACAGCTGTGACTGTCACTGTGAACTGGGCGTGCCCCGCGTGCATGTCAAACGTGCAATGACACCGAAAATGCCGACAAGGAAACAAAGCACCGTCTCCAAGGTATCACACCACAAAGCGTTGCTCATAAAAATGGGACAAAAGTTTCAGTTGACATTCTTGCTGGTCGCATTAATGGGAAGCTAGCATGCAAACCGGTCTTCTACTATTTCTCAGAACTCCCATTTGGGGTGATAGGGTGAGAAAGGCCGAAAAAAAAGGCTAGACTCAGCGTGGGTCCTAGCAACAGAAAAATATACACAACTGAAGCGCTTCAGGGAGTCACAATGTCCACAAAAAATATTAGCGCATATCGGGCATTTAGCGAAATAATCACTTTGTTTCACATGGTATACATATGTTATTAAAGGACGACTTGTGAATGGATGACCTCAGTTAAACCAAAATAGAGTTGGCATTTTAGATAATCCTATTATGCAAAAAGTACAAATGCTCGATCTTGAGAAGGTTTCTTTAATTGCCCACTAAACAACTGAAGATGTTATCGATCAAATGAATAAACTTGATCGGCTTTATAATATATAGAATATGCTATTCCAAAGTTAAAGTTTAGCTGCTTAAGTCTCTGATATCTCATAATTTTCATATTTCAAACTGCTACATTATTTGCTGAATGGTTGACTAACCGTGTCGCAACTTTCCGATTTAGACGAATCAATATTGAGATTGCTGCTACAATAGAACACTTGACTTGAAATTCCAACTTAACGGAGTCAAATGGAATAATTGCATAAATTATAATTACACTTACAACACTTATAGATGTAATACAATCAGGGAAGATGACAAACGAACGAACGAACGCCTACTCATGTGTTTCTAAGTGGCAGTTGTAATTGAACTGGTTTTTGCCACGAGCAGTTAGTGAGTCCAAGTCTAAGTCGGAGACAAGTCATTAAACAAGAGCGTAAACATATTTAAATATGCATGGAGCTACATATAAAATATGTATGTATCAAGCCCTGTTATCGATTTATGTCGAGTGGCAACCCTTTGCTGGGCGTCTCAGCCGCTATCAAGAAACGCTTTTAGGCAAAACAAACAAAACAATAACGGAATCTACAGCGCCACGTGCCACATGTTGGGGATGTGGCGGATCCAGGACTCTGGACACATTATGACTCATCGAGGCGCGCATAACTTCACTGCCAGCCAACCTAACTGACTGACTGACTGACTGGCTGGCTGCATCCGAAACGAATGGATATTCAGCCAGACGGCAGGGCATTTGATGTACATATGTACTTAACATCTGACATAAATGACTCGGTTCTGGGTACTAGGGACCAAACCAGACACGACGTATGCTCGCTCCATCGTATGAGGGCACAAAGCTGCAAGTGGGAATTGCGCCTGGCGAATTGCGTTTTCCCATACCGGAATATATAAAAGGGTTGTTTATGCTCTGGCATTCCTCTACACACACACACACATACACACACACACACACACAGAGAGCACTTGACGCTGTGCGGCATGAATGAATCAAATGAATTAGAGGCTGACGAGTGAGTGTTCTTGCCACGTTTGTTGCTCTGTTGCCGTTGTTGTTGTAGCCGCTCGTGTTGCAAGAGGCTAGACGCTCAAGCAGGTGGCAGGTGACTGGGATGCTGGTGGGACTAAGG